TTTTAAACTTGATTGCCTTGGGTTTGCTGGAAACACAAAACGGTTTGTTTACTGCGAGTAAATTACCATATCTAACATGATGATGTCACAGAGGGGCGGAGATTTAAATGCTGTGAAATGTGAAGTCAGAGGAAAGCAAGAGAGGTAAGGAAACCATCTATGGAACATATTTACACACTTATGCTTTTCATTGAGGCTAAGAGAGAGAGAGCAAGACTTTGACCTGATAACATGAAGGATGAACATAGACTTTATGGGGTTTTTTTTTAGTATTATTTTATTAAGGAAATATACAGCCAACTTCTGGCAATACACATCAAGACAGCCTTATCAGGAATGATAGTTTTACTAAACTGCCAGTTTAAAATGTAATCTTGCTAATGTAAAAGTGCGGAAAGCCTGAGCTCCTTTAAATCAAGACTAAAAACACATTTGTTTAGGATTGCCTTCGACTGTTCTAGTTAAACAGTTCAACTAAAACATATTTTCTTTAATCCAACTGTTTTTAAAAAACTTTTTTTTCTGCATTTTTTATTTTATTTTATTTATTTTTTATGTATTTTTTTTCCTACTTGCTTTGATTCTGTTTTATCTTCCTGTATTTTAATCAGGTAAAGCACTTTGCATTGTCTTTGTACTGAATTGTGCTATACAAATAAATTTGCCTTGCCTTGCCTTGCCTAATTATTTTATCTTGATTTCGAAGTAACATCCTTATTTACCTCTTTTCATATGGAGCTAAATTAGAACAATAAAGTGTTCTTAAAGCATTGATTTTTAAAATTGAAAAAAAAGTGCAACTGACAAAAAAATGTATTAAAAATATAAAAAAAAGATTTTAAATAAAAAAGAAATAATTAAATCTTCTATTCAAGTTCTTCTTTTGTTTCAAACTCCTGATCCCTCGGTCTCGGTCTTAGATGAGTGTATGGAGCTAAACTGGGTACATAAAATTGTTCAAAAACATAAAAAAATATTTTTAACTGAAAAGCATCTTTGAATCAATAAGAGCAGGTTAAAGGTATAGTGGAGGATTTTTGCGAATTTTTGAAAAGACTTGCCCTCTCCACTTTAAAAAAAGTAAAGCACATGCACAACCCTGTACCCCCTTCTAAAGGGAACGCCTATTAAACAAGTGTAAGAGCGTGCACAAGTCCATTTCTACTCGTGCACATTCTGTTTAACAGATGCTGTCTGCATGTGTCATAAAAGCTTACTTTCTAAAAGAAGATTTGCATTTTTTCCAGGGTCAGACTCACCACCAGAATGTGAAAATGGGGACGAGCACGTAGGACGGCCTTATGTAAACATATCACCAGAATGATTGACAATTAAGAGGACCACTTATTTTAAAGATCCACCCAGAAAAAGAACACCCTCCACTATACCTTTAAACTTTTTTTCTTCTACTTTCTGATATTTTTTGTTGCATTCAGGAACTGTGGGAACCAGGAAGCGTGTTTCAAATGGTTTTTTTTCAGTTTTGAAAGATTTTTTTTGGGATTCAAATATTTTGGGTTTTTCTTTCAGTTACAAAAACAATGTTTTTGGACAAACTTTATGGCCCCAATTTAGCTACATACATCCTTCCTGCATACTTAAATTTTTTTAGCCAGTGGTTCTTCAAAGATAAATAGAGAGCTAAAATTGAGCTATTTATAAAGAACCGGTCTCTAAGTATAGCAGCAGAGTCTCCACACGCCCCTCACTCCAGTAGGTCTCCACCACGGTGCTTCATTTTTTCATTATTCATTAGGGACACATATGTGTGGCGCGGTGGCTTCTGAAACAGGATTCCTCTAAAGCCCAACCCTACATCTGGAAAACCATGAAGCGCGGCCCGCTGACCACATCAGCTGCCTCTGCAGGATCACACAGCAATCCTTGTGAGCAGATGCTGGAGGGATTGCTCTCAATCATTATATTAAAAAAAAGGACCCAGTCTACAAATAGCAGAGCTGGAAATGCTGCTTACATTTACTGCCTTGTTTGACAGAGATGAGACTGAACTACAGGCGTCCATGGTGGATCAACACTGCAGCTGTTTTCACAAAGTTTTAGTTTGATATTTTTAGTTTCCTGGAAATGTGTTCATACCTGCTAAACTTGTTCATGTTGTTACATGAGGCAAAAAATGTCGTTAGGATTTTATATAAAAGACTTTTACCACGCTCAATTGGCAACGGATAATTCTATGGAGAGGAATTTGTTCCAATATTATTAGAACTTCTCAATAAAAAAACAAGGTTTTGAGAATAATTTATAGTGTGTGCAAAAAATGAACATCTGTTTTTACAATTTTCTTTTTTAGATATATTTTGTGTGATTTAATTTTTTTTTTTTTTTTATTTTACTTATTTTTTTTACTTTTCATATTTTTATTTCGTGAGATTGAGTTTTAATGAATTGCATTCATTTCAAAACCTGTTTTCCAGATTTCTGCTTTGAAACTTCTGGGTGATTTCCTCATATGGTGTTAAATTGTTGCCATAAAGTTTGATCCAACTCATTATTTTAAAAATTGAAAAAAATTAAAAGAAAAACAGAAAAAAAATATTTAAAAATTTGAAATGTATTTAAAATACAAAAAAGAGCTTTTTTTTTAACTGGAAAGAAATCTTTACATCTACTTTTCAAATTCAGACTTTAGATTACATTTTTTTTCCAGTTTCAGCGATGTTCCCTCGATGCTGGGGTGTGACAGATGACATGTACCCCATTTACACTCCCCCTCTGAAACTGATCTGTGCCAAGTTCAGACCGAGCTTGGATCAGTTAACCGTGCCAAGCTTGGTTCTTATGACCATTTACACGTCACGCTAGCACGGCTCCTTGCCTCCTATCTGCGGGCCATGATACTACAGCTCTCAAGGCGGGAATTATGAAAACTAAAACAAATCGGGGTGCCCATAATATTCAGGAACTTTATGTGCCTGAATAGTATCTTCCAGACAAATTTCCATGAGAGGCTCGGTCTCAGCATCATCCCAGATCGCACCACAATCTTTTGATGCCATTTAGTGTTAATAGGCTGAGAAGAAGTTCATGTTGTGAACAGGTGAAGACATCTGTGAATTGCAAAGCTGGAAGCACTGGAAAACCTGCAAAATTAGTCAGCTGACTATAAATAGGAGAAGACGCCGTCTGCTCAGGCGCTCTTTGTTATCTAAGAACTGAGCCACTGCTGTAGTACTAGATTTAGCGCGGTTTAGTTGTATTTGGCACAGTCTAGTTCAGTTGCGTTACATTTAGACTCAACAGTTATCTCGGTTACCGTGCTCGGACCGTTCTCAGCACATTTTCCAAAGGGTAGTGTAAATGGGGCAATGGTTTATCAGATTGTGATTGACAGCCATTCTGAAGATTGGCCCCCTAGTATTGCATTCAGTAACTAATCGGAACTTGAAAAGTTTTTCAAACATAATAAAAATCCTATGTTCAAGTGACTGATTTTAATAAAAATGCCATGCTTCATCGTTTTAAAGACATTTTAATTCCCATAGTTCCTGAATGCGACACTTGGAAATATTTTGTCTGAGGTGTCGGTCTTCATTAAACACCCCATGTCATCTAAATCCAGACTCTACACAGAGAAACCAGCAGTGAAAAAAAATGGAAGAAAAGAACCTGAATCTGAAAAGCGGTATTAAAATCTTTCCTTTCTTATAGTTTGATAAAACGAATCCCTTTAACTTATTGAAAGTAGTTATTTTCAATTAAACTTAATAAAATCATAAATGTATTTATGTAGGCGCTGTATTCTTTTTTTAATGTAGGGGACACAGTTAAAATGCACGTAGCATTTTCCTTACATGCAAAACCCTGTTTGTGGATGAGAACTACCACCGAGCTTTCACCCTAAAACAGAGAGGAGGCTGCATCATTCTTTGGGAGTGTTTTGTTTTGTTTTTGTTTTTTAGCAGGGACAGGGAAGCCAGTCAGAATGGAAGGGAAGATGTTTGGAGCAAAAAACTAAAAGAAAATCTGTTTTAGGAAGTAATTGAAGAAAATTACCCTAAAGGCTGAATCTGATCTAAAAATAAGTTTGTTTCTTTTTAAATAAGAGCATCTTCCTTTACTTTGAGCAGGTAGTTAAGAGTGTTTAGTGTTATGCAGTGTAAATAAGATAACAATTGTTTTTTTTTAACATGACTCATCCTATTCTGTTAGCAACATTTTCTTGTTTAAAAAGGGAAAAATACACTTACTTCAAGAAAAAATGACTTTCATACTTTCTTTTTTCGTGCAAGTGATTTTTTTTTTTTTTTTTTTTTTATCAGTTTATTTTCCCTTGAATGGAGCAGGTAACAGAGCCTATCTGCTAGTGGAATAAGATCCTATTCTTTTAAAATCAGAAGACAAAAGACAACTTCTTTGAAGTCCATATTATGTACAATTCTTTTTTCAAGGGAAAAATTCTTCTTCAGTTGGGAAATCATCTTATTTACTTGCTTGGAACAGAAGGAAAGGTGCTGATTTCAAGACTTTTTTATTAATTTTTATCCTTTTTTGCAGATCAGAAAACATAACTAATTTGTCTGATCGATTGATTGCATTTTTTCTGCAAAGTACTTTGAGTTGCTGTGAATTATTGCTGTTGAAATAAACTAAAAAAACGATCCTCCAAAATCCCAGCCTGATCGATGACTGCTACAGAGGAGAGCAGAGATGGTCCTAGGACCATCCTGAAAAGCATCCTTCATCACATTCACGCTGTAATTAGAAGTTATTTCAGGAAACAGACTCATCTAACAGGACGGCATCCAAATGCCAGAAAAGACTCAGACAGGAACCGGAGCCTTTGCTCCAAACCCAAAGCCCTTTCTGAACCATAATCACAGAGCGTCCTGTATGTTTAGCTGCTGTCCCCATGGCTGACCTTCTAACCTCCATCATGGAAACATTTGCAAAAAGAACCATAAAAGAACCAAGACTGATCACCAACATGAACTCTGATTGGAGAGACTCTGTGTTCTAAGTCCCAGTAATAAAGGCCTTACCTTCTCTTGTGCAGCTGCAGTGATGAATGCCACTGTGGAAGCAGAAGGTGGAAGGAGAGCAGTCCTGTCCTCTCTCTCTCTGGTTGGCAGAGGGAGTGGTGGGAGTGGCAGGGGCCTGCCTTTGTAAACTGTGGCCTGCTCCGCCACAGAGGGTGACACAACATAGACCAGTGTGGAACCTATGTGGAAACCTGCACACGCTCCTGTGTGGAGAAACCACAGACGTCCAAATCCTCAGAAGTGTTTCTTTAAAAAGGTGTGAAGGTTTTCCACCAAATGAATAAAAAACAACAACAAAAACTGAGCGTTGGGTTAGTCTGTCTGCATGAGCTCTTTTATTGAGATAAGAGGCTGATGTGGGGAGAAATCAATGATTTAACGGTAGTTATGTGATAACCTGTGTAGGGCATGTGGCTTTATTTTAACAGAGAGCAGATTTTCTCCACAGCTGCTCAGGGGTTGCATTTAATTACAGGATAAGAAATTCCTCGGCAAGACATGAAACAGCTTCTGCGCCGCATGTTGGATGCGTGTGGATGTCACGCTTACTGATTAAAAAGATGGAACCTGTTGCTGAAACTCAATACAGCTCTGGGTTTTGAGTGAGTCTTGTTGTTTCAGACATGTTTTCTTGTTACACGTCTTGGTCTCCTAGGATTCTATAAAGCAATTGTTCCCAAACATTTTAGACCTGTGTTCCCCTTTGGGCATTTTGTCTTACCATGAGCCCCCCCCAGTCAAAAGTATTGATGATTGTCCAAAAGTGGAACGTAAAATAACAGTTTTATTTCATTTGAGCATTTTATTCTTAGGCATTTTATGCTTTCCATCTCGATTAAAAAACAAACAAACATAAATTTGTTGCCTGGAAGTTAGGAAGGAACACAATAAATGCAAATAAATTGATATTATAAACCTGTATTTCTAAAACTGGAGCTCCTCTGACAAACTCCCTTATAATCACATTTAAACTTGATGAATTTGGAACAAAATGCAGAACAGAAATTGTATTCAGACTGACTTGATTAGTTTTACTTTGTTTTCATCAAAACACCTGAGCTGCTTTGATGATCTCCTATAGATCCGTGTGAAAACCAGCAGATCCCAGGCTGTTCTCTACATGCAGTCTGTTCCTCTGCTTGGTTTGAATGTGTGTCAAAGCTGCAGGTGAACTCACACATATAATAAAAGCTTTTTTTTTTGGTTGATAAAAGCTTGTTTTTCAATTAGGTCTTCACTAAGTAAAACTGATCCCAGCCCTATTTTAATTTACAAACTAATAAATAAGATACTTTTATGTACCCATTGCAATGCACCTGCAGACCACTAGGGGTATGTGTACCCCCGGTTGGGAATCATTGCTCTAAAGGACCAACCTCTGCCTTTTTCTTAGGTCTTGGAACATTATACCAGGTCTCTACAAACCATCCCAGGTGACTGGTTATTCCACACATTTTGTGGATTTCCAAAAGACTTGCAATCATGTTGTTTGAAGCATTTCATCGGTTGCCAATTATTTAGCTGGACAGGGGCCATTAAATTTGTTTAAAAACACTTTTTAGTAACTAAAAAAGGGTGTGATGCTGAAAAGAAATGTTTAAAAATTATTTCCAGGTTAGTGTTTTTTTAAGATTAAATTTTTTTTGCTGGTCCCTCCTCTTGGGACCAAGATGACATGGGGCGTTAAAGGATGACTGACAGCTTCGATGCATGAATTTTTCAAATAGATCCAATCCCACAGACATAGAAAATTGGTTCTGTTGTAAAGACATTTCTGGTTTCCAGTGTTCCTGAATGCAACACCTGTGCTGTTTCCTTTAGGCTTCTAAAGCTGTCAGTCATTATTTAATGACCCATGTCATTCAAGTCCCGCCCCGACACTTAGGGGGCACCAGTTTTGAAACTGGAAAACAAAGAATCTGTTTGATACATTTATTTTCAGTTCATTTTGATTTTCTAGTTTCCAAATCAAATTATTTTTCAGAATCATTTATTTTTCTGATGAAGTTTAAGTTTATGGCCCCAATTTAGCTCCATACTGAATTCAATCTAAATGATTGTACTACATGGATTCCCTAGGGCTTCCTCTTGTACTCAATCTGTTTCTGATGTTCATGGGCACGATGACATCGTTTGGTCTCTGGTTGTTAAACTTATAGGCTACATATAGAACAATGCAGACAGTAGGGTTTGCTGATGGATTTGAACATGTCATGATCTTGGCACTGATTGCTGGCTTATTATTCATTCCATTCACCTGTCCAACTCTGCCCGGGTTATGATGACTGCTTGCATTCGGTTATCAGACCCAGATTCTCTCGTTCTTGGGTGTCAGTGGTTAGAGGGTTTTGGCGTACCTTAGAGTTTCTGATTTCCTGATCCTGACCTGTTCTGCCTCTCAACCACTGAGCCTGTCTGTTTCCATCTGAATGGTTTGCCTGAACTTCCTTTAGACTCCTGGAACACTGAAGCAGCCTGTTCCTGTTCTGATCTGTTTGCCTGAGCTAGCTTGGGACTCCTGCATTTTCTCCTGAGGCTGCAGCATCTGGGACACTCTGGGCGGCGCCCTCTGCATTTTGTTGGCAACCCACTGGCTGGATCCAACCATGTGGTCTGGACACGGACTGCACTGTTAAACCAGAGTTTCCTGTGATAGACGCCTTAGCCGCTGCGACTGCAGACCTGTTTTTTTTTTTATAAACACTTTTGAATTATCCTACTGTCTGTCTTACCTTGAATACTCCTCTGTTTTCAATCATTACAGCATATTGGGTTAGGTTTAAACCAAAGAATGGATTAACGTAACCTCCTGCCGTAAAGCCTTGCAACCCCTTCTTCTTTTATGTCATAAATCCCAACTTCTGTGTCGGTTAGGGGTCCCAACACACAGCAGAACGTTTAAAACCAGCCCAGGGAGTTTAAAGTTTGTACCAAAATACTAGATTACGCTATCTAATACACAATTTAGGGAAAACCAGCACAATTGGGCAAAAACTCTGACTTCTAGGTTATGGTAAAATGCGCTTATGATCCTGGATATTTATATAAGATGAATCAGCTGAAGTTATTGGGCTACGTACCTAAATTAAGACCCGAAACAGTTTGAGGTGAACTTGGGACTTCCATCATCTCTATATTTAAACAATTATTTTCAAGATTTAAATTAATTATTTCTTTTCGGAATTAATGCATTTTAATATTAAAGTAGTGCGTTTTTTCTTGAATTTAGGTAAGTGAGACACTTTGCCAATTGAACAAGACAATTTACATTTAAAATAAGAAAAAGCAACTGCATGGTCTTATTTCCATTGCATATTATTTGATTATCTTATTATAAGAGTAAAAATACTAGTTTTGATTGGCAAATCATCTTATTTACCAACTCAAATCAAGAGTAAATAAACTTGGTTTAAGAAACGTTGACTTATTTCTAGATGATTTTTGCAGCATAGACCGATCGCTAAAAGACAAAATAACCAAACCAAATTGAAAGGGTGCTAATTTTATAAGTTCAGCAGTCAGAATCCTGCACTGTAGAAGCCTGGTGTGTCACTGCCCTCTACTGGAGTTCAGTGGTAATTTTATTCACTTCCCTTAAAAGTCCTATTGGAAAGGACTGACTTATTAAGACTTTTCTTATTGTCATGGTTTCTAACATAAATTACTGTTAGTAGGATGGGAATCTACTTTAGCTTCTAAATGTGCCTCAGATTCTACAACATTGTTTTGATGTATTTATATCAGCAAATGTGACTTTTTTCTGTGAGTCTGCATCATTCAGACAGTTTGCATAGTTCTGATTATCTATTAAAAAGAAAAAGCTTATATTTTATATCGAAATTACTATGTTTAAAGACCGACTCCATGTCCAACCAGCTGCCTATTCATTCTGTTTGTTTTCCTCTAGGGGGCAGCATTGTCTTAGATATTTATAATAGTATACAGGTATTCATACTATCGTTCATTTCAACGAACTTCACTGTATTTTATTGGTATTTTTCTGAATCAGACCTATGAAAAAAACTGCATATAATTAAAGCATAAAGTAACCAGATGCACTTCACAGTTTACTGTATTTTAACTCAATCTGCCAGCTGTTGACTCAGAACAATAAACCAACAAAGCTTCAGTTCAAAAAAGAAAAGTGTGTCAAACAGAAACTGTGTCTTTCTGCTGTGTGGGTTTTGTTTTTGTTTTGTTTTTTTTGTTTAAAAAATGATCATTTTTCATTGAGTGAAGTTACTCACTGGTAGAGCAGTCAAATATTTTAAATAAATAATTCAAACAAATAATTTTTTTTTTCCGGCAAGAGAAGTGATACTTCATTGTATTTTTTTATCAAGTAAAACGTCCTATTCAGTAAAAATACTCCTACTATTGCATTAAAGATGACATGTTTTTTTTTAATTATAAACCAGTATGACCTTTATATAACATTTAATCCACACTTTTGTATTTTAGACTTTGAGCCTCTTGCTTCTCCATTATATTTATTCAATATTAATAAAACATATATTTTTTTACACTTGGATTGATGCAACACCTACTATCTCTTTGTTCAAATACAGATTTATAAAAGATAAGGTGTAATTAAATGCTTAACAACAGTTAAATTACTGGTTATAACAGTTTCACCCATGATGACGTCCACTTACTTTTTAATTATCTCTTATGGGACTAAATTATAGAGGATCTCCAAACCTGCCTCATGATGTCATGAGAATTCAGAACTTGATTTTATAAGTGTACACATTAAGATGTTGAAACATTTAAGGTAAATAGAGAAAGAGATGTCAAAAAATAAATGGAAACATTGACGTCCTAATTGAATAGAAACTGAGGAGAGAAAGAAGAAATATAAAAAATCAGGTCTGTTTCCTTGTTATCTGGGTCTATATCCAAAAATATATAAGAAAAATTAGGAAAGAAGTGTTTCATTTAACTTTTAAGACTTTATTTAGGAAAAAAATTGTCTCAGAATAAAGCTACTTTTAACTTTTGATCGATAAACTTTGTTCTCTGCTTAATAATAAAAAAAACATTTTTTTTAGTCTCCCTGTGATTGTACAGATATGTTAAGTAAAACTCCCTGGAATCACAAAATAAACTCTTCTTGTTCTGTTAACTGCTCGTCTGCAAACCAGCTTCATGACGCTCTAACCTCAACATTTGAGTTATAGTACGTATGAGAGATGAAGCAAAAAAGCATAAACAAGCAAAATCAAATGTTATTTCTCTTTTCTTCCTTTTCTTTAGGGCATCTGAGTTAAGGAGACTGAAAGCAAATGAATGCCAACTTATTCATCATGCTGCTAAACAACTAGATAAAAAAAAAAATGAGTTAGAATAACATTTAATTTCCATTTAGGATCAGTTAATTATTTTTTATATTGAATTAAACATAATTTGTTTTTCTATAGGAAAATAAAAGCCATGTGACAAATTTGTAAAGATTTGAATGTAAACATAAAGACTTATAAAATGAAGTAAATCTTCCAAAAAAAACCTCATTTAGCTGTTTTAAAGAAGTAATACTTTTGTGCAAGTTATACCTGGGTTCTCTCCAGGTACTCCGGCTTCCTCCCACAGTCCAATTATTATTATTATTATTATTAACAGAGCCAAATAATTTGTCATTAGAAGAAAAAGAACATATTGAATAGTTATAATTCCAGCTGCATCCTTTTAGTCTGTAGGGGATTAGGGATTATATGATGCTTCATGTCAAGAACGATTACCCAATTCAGTTACCTTATTTAAAAAAAGATTATTTATTTAAATTTTCAATCGTTGCATCAGAAATTAGGTTGTTAGAACTGTTTTTTTGGAGGTGATTGGTAACTTAAAGTATTTTGATGTCATCTTAATTTCTTCCTAAATGAAGTCCTTCTAACTGTACTGAGCTGTTTTCAGTCAGTGTTGATGCAGTAAAACACCAGCAGGTGGCAGCACTGCAGCGTCAACACCGAAGCACCCTGCCGGAAATTAGGAGTAGAAGAAGAAATCAACTTAGGAAAAAAGGAGCTACAGTTATGGCCGCGTCAGATGATTAGCTAAGAGAAGAAAAAGAAAAACAGTAATTTTAGTGGAACTAAGCGTTGTTTTTTGTCGTAATGCATCTTGTTGTTTTGTTTACACTTTGAAGTTTCTCCAGTATCGCCGATAATGATAAAAATGAAGCTACCGATGAAAACTGGCGACGAGACGGCGGAGGACGGCTCTTTGGATCCATCCGAGAGGCTCCAGGTCCCCAGGGCGGCTTCCCCCCCCTCCGTCTATCAAAGGCTCCGGGAGCCGCCGCCCCGGGACCCCGCATCGAGTCTGGACAGGGAGACCGTGTTCGAGTGGTTCGGACACCACCTGAACCCCGCCAAGCGGGTGGAGTTCATGTGCGGGCTGCTGCATATGTGCCAGCCGCTGGAGCTCCGCTTCCTGGGATCATACCTGGAGGACCTGGCCAGGAAGGACTACCATGTTTTACGGGACTTTGAGGGCAGGGCGAACAACCCGGGCGATTTGGGGGTTCTAACGGACGTGACCGACCCGGTGGTCCGGTCCAAACTGATCGTGTGTCTGTCCCTCCTCGGTTCTGACAGGAGGGAATGTGCTGGAATACTGTCCAGGATCCTCAGCAGCGTGGACTTGTCCTTCAGGAGCTTCGGCTACCCCCTGTCCTCCTTCAGGGACCCGCAGCATCACCTCCACCCGTTCTACCCGCCCTGTCAGGACGGGTCCGTGTGTGAGCAGAACCGGGTCGAACCGGCCGGGGGGGCGCTGGAGCAGCTGGCGCTGCTCTACACGCTGGCCTCCCTGCACCCAGCCTTCCACTTCCACCAGCGGGAGGTGATCCGAGCTCAGCTGGGCAAGATCGAGCTCTGCTTGGAGGAGGAGAGGCGGCAGCAGCAGCTGAGGATGACCGCCCAGCCTACGGTAAGACACAGCTCTGATAGCCAGGCCTTCCCTGGAGCTGGAGCCCAGCAACAACCGCTAAAGTTAGGATGAGAATTGCATTTAAAAACACCGAAAACCCGAATATAAAACCCGCTAAAATAGAGAAAACACAGGCACCGAGTTCTGTTTTCACAAAGGAGCGTTAAGTTTCGTTTAAACGTCGTAGTTTAGCCTTAGGATTCGCTGTTTATACTGGCGGAGCTAATGAGGCTAACTGTTAGCTAACAGGTTAGCCAGCTGCTAGAAAGCAGCTAAAAGCAGCTCAAGCTGGACAGATGGTGCTGAGATATGGGAGGCCGGACGTGCCACAGTGCAAATGAATAATTGGAAAATAGAATATTGTTTTTTTTGAACAATCATATATTCCAGTGATATTTATGGAACAGAGGTTGTGCCATAATTGTTGCTAGCATAGAACATGTTTTGTAAATGAACATTTGAAAAACGAAACAAAAGAAATTATACATTTTAAAATAAATTTAAAAAATGGTTTTATATTTAAAGAGGTTTTGAGGTTAACTTTGATTTTTTTTTTTTTTTTTTTTCAAATTTTGTTGGAAGTTTTTTTTTGTTTTGTTTCTTTCATATTTTTTCCAAATGTAATAATAATAAAAAAATTTGTTTAAAAAATGTTATATTTATTTTGATTTGTCAGATTTTTTGTGTGTTCAATTAGACCTGGGTGATAAAACGAATTTTTATCATTACTATTCACTATGATAAACAGCGACAATTTTCCCCTCTTAGTAAAAAGTACAAACTTGGTTAAAAAAAAAAAAAAAGAAAGAAAACGTAATTCTGCCATTTTTACTGTGCTGAGGGTGGCTGGTATTTCCATTCCTCTTTAAGACATGACGGCATGTGTAAAATCACATTTCTCCACCGATCTAGTCTGAAGCGTAAACAAAGAAAATGGCGTGTGTAGCCTGTGAAGTAGTGGCTAACACACAGCCATAAACAAAACAATATCAGTTAATCCTATCAAATTTATTCCTGTATTTTGGAAATGTTTTGGTTTCCTCAAAGGATGTATCGCAAAAAAAAAAGCGCAAAATGCAAAGTTTACCTGAAAACTGTCATGTCTACCCAACGTAACTCATCGAACCTCCGCTGTGGCCCGATTGGTCGGTTTTCATTTTGATTTTGAGGGTAAGGATTTGTTTAGGGCGGGTGGAGATAATTTTGGCTGGTTTGGAGTCAGATCTGCGGTTTTTGAGTTAATCATTCATTTGAGCAAACCATGGATGAAACGCGTTATTTTACCCCAGAACCAGAGATCTGGTTAGAGAGGGGAGTTTTCCAGCAATGGATCCGAGGAGGAGCCCCCTTAAGCGGCTACAGTATGCTGAGTAAAGTGCCCCAAAGTGATGCTCCTAGAAGAAAGGTCCTCAGGAGATATGATTGGCAGGAGGCCTCTTCAGCGGTTAGAGTTAGTAGCAAAGCTTCCCTTTCTCCATCATTGATTAGCTAATGTCATCTGCCAGGGTGTTTACAACAGAGAACTGGTGTAATTATGCTAGTTTTAGCAACAGGTTAATCTGATGTAATAAGGGGAAAATATAAGAAGATTTACAGAAAATAGTAGGAAAGTGATGATGATTTTAGATGGATAGCACCATCTAAAAACGATGAAAGCAAGGCTCTCTGCAAATTTTGTCATATGAACTAACTGGACTAACACGCAATGGATGGACACCAGCACTGTTCGCTCTTGCCTGACAGTTATTGGGAAGATTTAATTCAACCAGGTACTGATCACAAATCACAATTATTACTTGAGAGTTAAACTTGAATGTTTTCATGACTTTTATATTTAATATAGAGTAATATGTTATGTGATTTGGTCAATAAATAAACGAAAAATAGTTGGATTTCCTGCTTCTCCCATGTAGGTAAGAGAGTTCTGGCAACAATGTTGACGCACTAAGCTTAAATAAGTAGAGTGGCATCACCTGGTCACTGCCATAGACACTGGTCAGCCGTGCTTAACTACTGGAAAAAATACAACAGATCTTTAATTCAATTCAAAAATACTTTATTAATCCCAAAAGAATATTAAATCTCCCATCATGCTCTCTGCTTCTACTTACTGTGAAGTAATTATGTTAAACAGTATGTTTAAGATGCATAAAATGTATATAAATAGTACAATGCATAAAATAAACACAAATGTAAAGAGGTCAGTATTTATAAACCTAAATCCTCTTCCACTTAACAGCCAGTATGTTAGTAGAAACTGGTATTTAAGTTGTTTTACTTTTCTTTAATCATGCAAACAAAACTTTAAAATCAATAAACGTTATATGTAAGCCAAATAAATATGACTGAACAGACTATATAAAATAAAAAATAATAAAAACTGTTATAGATCTGTCTGTATGTTGAATGGGCCGGACCTGTCTGGTCTTGAGTTCTCCGACTCAATGGCTCTGCAGATCACATTCTCTTCACTCCAGCATAAACACTAGCGCTTGATAGGGATGTCCAGATCTCGAGATCGGATCGGTCCGATCTTTTCTATTTACTGGTTATTGAAGCTCGGCTACTGAGGAGTCGTGTCGATCTTTGCCGAACGGCAACTTCCGTATAGTAGCTGCTAGTTACTGTTGGTGATGGCAGTGCAATCCAAACTAGGAATGCAGGATATAATCGGCCCCCTATCGGTATCGGCCTTAAAACTGAATATCGGACATCGGCCACCCCACCGATATTTAACCCGATATTTGATCAGCTTCTGAGTTTCTAAAGTCTGAAAAAAAAAAAACTACTTCTTCTTCTTCCTCAAAAACTTCTTTTTTACAGACTTAAAAACTTCTAAAGACGAGGGAAAAAATATTGATACATTAAAATATCCCAATATCTTCATATGCTGATATATTGCCATTTAAAAACACCATATCAATCTCTTTTACTAATGAAATATTGCTATATGTCATCGTTATGCTACGAAATCCCCCGAAAATTCACCAAACGTTGCCATATTTTTATATGTTGATATATTGACGCGGTATCGATCTATTTTACTAACAAAATCTCACAAGAATTTGCAAAATATCACGAGAGTTTGTAACAGAACGATGACATTTCACCAGATTTTGAAAGTAAAATAGATCGATACCGCGTTTTTAAAAATCAATTTGATATCAGCATATGAAAATATATTTGAGTATATTATTTTTCAAAGTGTCAGAAATGGATAACAAAACTGCTATTTTCAATGACTACTTATTTTTGTCCAGCTTTAACATCGGTATCGATATCGGTTATCGGCTACATGAGTTTTAAAATATCGGCATATCGGATATCGGCCAAAATCCCAATGTCGTGCATCCCTAATCCAAACCTCTGTGGATGTGCAAATCAAGCATGCCTGAAGTGTGGAAATATTTTACTCTCTACAGGTAAAACTGTCCTAAAGCTACCTGTAATGTCTGCAACATGGCAATTCCAAGAGAAAGTAGCAGCAGGGCTACATTTAACAACACAATTGATTTGTCATCGGAGGATAAAACATGATGTGTATGAAGCGCTTTGTAAAGCTGCAGATGGAAAGATTGCTAAAGCAAAGCAACAGACTCTGGTCTTTATGAGGAAAGAAATACTCCGTTAAAAACGATAGGGCAAAGACAATCATAGAAAGGTTGGTCGAATTTATTGATCTTGACAACCAATCCATCTCAGTCGTTAAGAATGTCACACTTAGACGTCCGCTGGAAGTTTTCGACCTGCGCTACGCTCTGCCATCGAGACGCCACATTAACGACAGTCATACCACAGCTGTACAGCAACGTTTAAGAAAAAATGCAAAGTCACTTGAATCTAAATGTTGTTGTTAGTTTCATTACTGATATTTGGAGCGCAGACGTTTGCCTGCTGATCCAGAAGCTTATATTTTAAAGCGTGCAGAACTCAGACAAGCCATATTGAACCAAGTCAGTGTTTTACTTTTTACCTTTGTCTGGAATATTAAATTCACCCTGATCTTTAATCCTTTTTAAGATTTAGATTTCATGGGATTATTATGGAATTATTAGTCTGATAAAAAGTGGAGTTACTTGGTCAAAATATATTTAAGTTTTATACATTTCATTACTAAAGGCAAAATATGGGATCAGGATTCGAAATCGGATCAGATTAGATCTGGAATAATAGAAATGTTGAAAAGTTCAGCCGATCAAGATAAATGTTTTCTCAGAGGAAACCCCTCTGAGAAAGATTACATTAATAAAATTACATCTACAAAACAAAAGTTTGGGGGGGGTGGGGGTGGTCTTCAAAGCATAAATGATAAATATTTGAAAAAAGGGGAAAAAGGTTTGCAAAATGAAAATAAAATCAGACAAAACTGTAATGGTAATCATAAGATTTTTATTAAAACGTCATTCAGGGTGTGGTCTCTAGATTTATTTAGTTTTTTCATACTTTGAATCAAAATTTTTTATTTTTTACATAAAATTTTCTTTGCTTGCAAAAATGAACATGAGCTGCAACGATCACCATTCTAGGTATTATAAGACAATAAATGCATAAAAACATTTGGTTTCATTTTTCTTAAAAGCACAACAGGTTCCACCAGATAGACGCCTTATTGTGGTTTAAGGTTGTGTTTACCGGGAAGCTCCTTTGGCTGAGATTTTAAATGTTGTTTTATGACTTAGTTACGTTTTTTATGCCATTTGATTCGCTTTAGTTTTAAACATGGAGCCGTTCACTTCTGTTAACAGGACATGGTTCAAAATACCATTTTCTTTTTTTTCAGGATCCATTTCAAAGAAACTTTTTGTCATTTTAGTCTTTTCCCAATCGTTCCGTCATGATTTTAACTTGTAATGACCCTAACTGTAGTTTGTAGAGTGAAAAGGTTGAAATTGTTTCATAGCATTTGCTCTAACTTGTTAGCCTGGGTGCCATTCCGAACTTAGTCCCGCCCACAAGGTTTGAGTTCGGGGAAGTTCGGTCTGGCTCTGCTCCATAGTAGCGCGAGTATTAAAGCCCTCTGTCAGGCGATCCAATCAAATTGTCAGGGCGGGCTTTATACGATGATGGACAGATGATCAAGAGTAACGTTATCAACCACGTGACCAAAGCGCGCTTGGGTGACAACAATAATGGCTGCCGCTGGAGAGTTGAGGTGAGTAGATTCTGCTATTAGGTCTGTTCTAGAAGATATCGACAGCAAATTAATTTTAAAAGAGGAACAGAGGAACGCGATCAAGTCTCATCTTCTTATTCTAGGCGTGCAACTGCACGCTTTGATTTTTGTTGACAACAACTATGCCTCGCTTAACATACGTCACGCACTCCGTTGCTCTTATTGGTTGTAGGTCTATCCAATTGAGTGCAGAGGCATTTTTTTTCCTGGTTCGTTCGAAACACGCCCCATAATCACAGCTCTATGGAGCAGCATCAGACTCATTCTGACTAGAATTGAGTAGGACTACGTCAGGCTACTAACTTGTGGCTTTATTTGAACAATTATTGAAGCAAATTCATTCCATACACCTCAGGGATCACATCATGAGCTTTCTGAAAACCATCTTACGTCCCCTGAGTTGAGATTTGCTCCTGTGTTTACGTCCATACGTGGTTCGAGCTGTAAACAATGTAAAGCAGGTGAAACTCAGATGTAACACCTGATAGATCTATATGTTGCTGACAGACAGATGAGGATCTGTGGACCCTGCAGCTGTCGCTCTGTAGCCTAACTGTCCAACGAGCTAACAGGTTTGTAATGTAGATCAAGAGGCTGATCCGTTTGGGTCGACCTCAGCTCTCCACCTTTTGTCCAAACCTTTTATTTGATCAGAGTGGATAAAGAATAAGTTTAGCTGCCAACTTTGTAATCATCAGCCTTTGTGTGGAGCAAATAGTTGGACACTGCCCACTGTTTCTAACGAGCACAATGTGACGGGTCGACACCATGAGGCTGATCTGATGTCTGATTTATCCCTGTAGAGACGATGTTGACTGATATAGGATGGATAGATTGAAGCTTTACACGAAACAGAGGTCAGATGGGGTCAAAAAATTGGTCACTGATGCAGTAAATGCACCATAAGATCCACATTTGGAGGAAGATAATAAAGTGGAGATCTGTTTAGGTGAAGAAGAAGCCTTTTTTTTAAGATGAAGACAGCTTGCTGCTTAGAGTGGGCCAGGAGTTGGCAACCTGTGGCTCTTTAGCGCCCCTTGTGGCTCCCTAGAACCTTGTCAGAAATTTATGAAAATGTATTTTTTGGTTTGTTTTAATATGGCGTGCAGAAGGTCAAACAAAATTGTTTTCCGATGCTGTAAATATTTTTATAGTAAATATATTTAAACAATAGTTCTAATGTCCCAGCTGAGGTGAAAGGCTAAAGTCACGATACATATTTTTAATGGCTTCCCATCACCCAGCTGAAACACCTCTATAGGATCAACTGTCCTTTCAAGTTGCTTTTTCTTTCATCTTTTTGTTCCTCTTTTTTTTTTTTTTTTTTTTGCAAACAATTACTCAGTGGAAACCTAGACATCGTAGAGCACTCAGTGAAATCAGCAAAGCTATGGTTTGATCGGTTCACGTAACGGAAAAGGGAATCAGATTTTAAATCTCTAATCTAGTTTTTCCCATAATTCTTCAACCCTTCTAGTGTTTGCGGCGATAAATAACATCTGCGCTATAGTGGAGTTTTATAGCTGCGCTGCTGCGATCTGCTAACATCGGGAATGTTTCTTTTTCCAGGAGCCGATGGCTCAGCAGGTGGACTACCTGGCCCCCTCGGTGCAGGACCATGGAGAGCTCCCAGCCTCCCATCCTCCCTGCCAGAGCCGCCGCTGCAGTCGCTGGGCGGCGCAAAGAGAAGGTGAATTTTATTTTATTGTTATTTTTTATGCTTAAAAGTGAGTTTCTCAATTTATTTATTTATTTTTTTGTTGTGTAACCTTGTAGCCGTGCATATCGAGGGGATCGTGCTCAGAGGGATCTCTAGGACAGGAGCGGAGAAGGAATACAGCTTTGATGTGAGTAACGGGTAACATCACTACTCTTTAACCCCAACCCTCATTAGCTGATGAGTCCTAAACCTTAGAAGCAGAATTAAACAGTCACATTAGTGTGTGGACTTTTATATGAAGTATTTGTCAGCTTTAAATTCACTGGAAGTCATTTCAGCTCTTTAATCTTCACTATCGGGTCACTCAGATTGTTAAGGCTGAAACAGCATCTGGTGTGTTTTATTCAGTGATTTACAGCTGAAGGACAGGACAGGTGTCTGGTTTCTCTGATGTTGGAATGTGATTTGCAGCACAGCTAAAAAAACATCTGGAAATTCAAAGAAAAAGAGTATATGGCAGTTCCATAGAAATAATATGTATTAGCAAAGAGAATTAAAACAATTTAAATAGAAGAAAATTAAATTGATAATTTTTTGTTTATTTTTTCTTATTACAAATAATTTAATGAATATATTTCAATATATTAAATCATATAGAAAAGCCAGAGGAAGGACTTTAGAACTGAGCTGATGTTCTCTACTTTCTTAGTTTTAGTGAGGATGCAGGCAGCAGCATTCTGGATCAGCTGCAGCTCTGATCCACTTTTTAGGCAGTTAGCTAAGGAAGCTTTGCGCCATCATCGTGTTGATTTCTTCTCTGTATTTACCCAGAGCTGCAATGGGTTTGAAAACTGGAACTTTTGATAAATCAAAATAAATGCTGCGGATCTTGTAGAAAATCTTTGTGATGTAAAAACTGCAGTTCATGTTAGAAAGGAGAACATTCAGTTTGTAAATGAGTAAACTTTGAGAAATATTCTGCAGTCAGAGTCTAATATATGCTGTTAATTAGCTCTACAGCTCAGCTTGTACTTCTGTCTTAGTTTGAACAAGACGTTTTTGTACTCAAACGCTTAAAAATTTAAAAATATGGAGTGATTCCCATGCAAAGTAATCAGGAAATCAAATTCAGGCTCACCCATTCATAATGAACAGTAGGATGATGCTGGAACAATGTTGCTGTGATTGACCTTCCCTTTTTCTCCATATCTCATCTGATATCCCTTTCAAAATAAAAGCCAATAGCCGCAGAAAAATAGAACATTCATTACGAGACGCTTCCATTAAAGTGCTGAAGTCCTAATTGAGGACGACGAGGCGTCTCTTCTCACAGCAGAGACATCAGGACCAGTTATCCTTAACTTAGACGTTTATTTATCTTTACAGAACCACAAGGAACTCTGAGGGATTTATAACCTTCAAGAAAATGTTGAAATTTTGTTTTGATTTCGTCTAAATTTGGCTGCATTCCAAACCCAAAAGACCTTTATTTACATCTTTCATCTTCTGTTGTTCCTTTAGTGTTTTAGAAATTACTCGTGCTTTTATTTTTAATAAAACAGACTCGATGCAGTTTAATGCTTGGCCTGGAGTCAGATATGATGTAGACCTTTTATCAGGTCTACATCATATCTACTTGTAGCCCAACGTTCAGACGGGGCCTTACGATCACACAGGATAAGAAGTTACCTTAAGTTCAGGAAAAGAAGCATGATTTTGTTATTTTTTTGGGGTCAGATGGACCCACAGAAGTTAGTTCAAAGCAGAAATTATTTTGAAAAACATAACTTTAGGATTTTAGAATCAGATATTTTCAAACAGCATTGATACTAAATGATCCACATCATCCACCCCTTCTGGGGTTAAGCCAGTGGGTATAAATCCTGTTGGTGATGCCAATATGAGTTTTTTGTTCTGGTTGTGATGTTTGGCTGCTATCTCAATCAACTTTATTGTCAACTACAGTTTACATGCAATCTGCTGGTTTTAGGTCAAGTGGTCGGACTCTTCCTCCAGCAGCGTGACCAAAACCCATCATGAACTGGAGAACTTCCTCCTTAAGGTGACAGAAACAATAATGTCTTCTCTGAGCTTGAAACATTTCTTTAAACCTGGCTGATGCAGATCGAGTCTCATTGATCCAAACTGATGCTGTTTTTTTCTTTTTTAGCTTCCAAAGGATCAGTGCACAGAGTCCTTTGAGAAAAGCATTCTGCGACTTCTGAGCCAGGGGGACCAGTATGAGAGCAGGGAGGTGGAGAAGAACCTCAGGTGATTTATGACACAGAATCGCCTCGCTTGGTTAGGTCATCAATAAATGGCGGACGCAGCTTTTTGTTGCATTTAGTGAATGTTTTTAATCCTTAAACCGGATTAGTTGAGTCAGAGGTTCTGCTTCAGGCCCTGAACTCAGGGAGCATCTGATGCTTCTTCATCACCGATTAGTCATCCAGACGCACTTTAGGAAAAACAGAATGTGTTAAATAGATGCAGGCCTATAGAGATATTCTTCATTGAATCAGAAAGCAAAGCATGCAGGAACATTTAGAGATCACCACTATCAGAGTTTAACTAACAGAAAAAAATGTATATTTTTTCATAAATTTTGTTACCTTTGCTATGGATTCATTCCCACATGATTTTTGCACATAATTCTGGTCAGTATAGATCTGTGTTTAAAAAGATTTTAAACCTTAAATTCAACAAATTCTTTAGATCAGTGTTTCCCAACCAGGGGTACTTTTACCCCTAGTGGTCAGCGAGTGCATTGCAAGGGGTACATGAAAATATTTAATTTTTTAGATAGTGAAATAAAATGGGGCGTGGATCTAATTGCTTTCTTAGGGCCCAGTTGAAATATTAATCAACCTTTTATCAACCAAAAAGTACGTTTTTCTTATATGTTTGAGTTCAGCTGTGACATCCAAACCAGGCAGAGGAACAGACTGGATGTAGTGATCAGCTGGTTTTCACTCCGACCTATCAGAGCTCCTCACAGCAGTTTAGGTGTTTGGATGAAAACAAAGTAAAACTAATTAAGTCAATCTGAGTATAATTTTTGTTCTGTATTTTGTTACCAATTCATCCAGTTTAAATGTGACTATAAGGGAGTTATTCAGAAGAGCTCCGGTTTTATTAATACAGGTTTATAATATGAGTTTATTTTGCATTTATTTTGATTGCCTACTAATTTCCGGGCACCATACTTATGTTTTTATTTTTAATTTGAGATGGAAAGAATAAAATGTCCAAGATTTAAATGCTTAAATTAAAATATTAATTAAAACAGTTTTTATTATATAATCAGTTATTGTGCGTTCCGTTTTTGGACGATCATCAATACTCATGGTTAAACAAAATAACCATAGGGCAAAAAAGAGTTTTAAAAGGTTGCGAAACGCTGCTTTCGATGACACACGTCTGTCAGGAATATTCAGTCAGACATTTAGTTACCAGATGAGGCGTCCAGAGAGCTCCGCCCTGCAGCGCTACAAAGCTGCTCATCCTGCGAGGTAGAAAAGGCTCGCAGGATGTTAGCTTCGATGCTGCAGTGTGACTGAGGGAGTTTGGTTTTTATTATCAGCTCCTCCTCTCTGACAGAGTCTCCTCCCCACAGCTTTCCTTTTCTATGAAGTGAAACTCTGGGGAAAGTGAAACCTATCGGCCGCCTCCTCACAGCTCTCTGGGATTAAAGGTTGCAGCCAATAAAACAGCATTTCAGGCCCAAACAAGAAAACTGGTTTCTGTTTCATTCAATACGAAATTAATAAATTAAGTTTTAAATGTTCTATCAAACATAGCAAAGTTTATATGAAATGAAATAAAACAGAATAAAAAAAAGGTGTTAATCTGTTTTGTAATTTAAGATTTATTCATTTATTCAAGCTATAATGTTTTATTTATTTTAATTGTTACTTTTTACAAGATTTAAATATTTTTGATTATAATACAATTATTTAAAAACGAATTATTTCACAATACAATGATTTCAGAAAATAGTTTTGATTTCAAGATAAAATGAATACAATTATTAATTATTTTGTTTTTATTCCAAAATATTTCAGAATTACTTCATTTTTTTCATTGTTTCACAATAATATGAATCATTTATTTATTTCAAGATATAATTGTTATCTCAAGGTTGTAGTAAACTGTAGTCAGCTGCTCATTTATAGCTTCATCTAGCTAGCTTAGCATTAGCCATTATGCTAAACTAGCTACTGTTTACATTTTTCACAACATTCTGTCCTCATTCCACCTTTCCACCGGTGTGTAAAGTTTAATTATGTTGGTTTTGACCCAAACCTCAACTGGACTTCTGCCGTTTTTACTGCAGTCTGAGAATAAACAGGTCGACTTTCTCTGCCTTTAGTTGTTCAGCGATAAATTAATTTGAAACTCTGAAAATCCACTGCTTCATTGGAATAAGAGAAAAATAAATATAAAACACAGGAATAAAAAAATACATAAAATGCTAAAAAAAAGTGTGCTAAAATAAAATCTCCATTATGTAATAAATACATGTTTTAAATAATATACAAAAATAAATATATAACTATAAACAACCCAAACGAGTAAATATTGAAGTAAATATATATTTAAACAAATTTGCTAAAGTATATTAAAAAAGAAATCTTTAATAACAGATGAAAGAATAAATCCTCAAGTAAATAACCAAATAAGATAAAAATCTACATAGATTTTTACTTCCTTTATTTGGTGGAATCTAGTATTTTTTTTATTGTTAATTTTTGATTAAATGCTTTGATTAGTTTCCTCCTGGGTTTGATCCCTTAAAGAGGCTGCAGAGCTTTATTTGAGCCTTTAGGTAAAGATTAGGAACATCGTCTAGTTTCTGTGAATTTAACCAGAAAAGCAAAAGCTCAGCTGTACTTAATAAGTAATAATAATACTTCTGATTGTTCTTTATACCATCTACAGTTTATTAATATCTTTTGGTGATTTATTTTGGACATTAAAGCCTTTATTGGTTCATCCTGAGCTGCACTGAAGAAGCTGTGTATCTGTTCCTCTGCAGGGAAAGGTTTCTGTCTGCTCCGCCTCTTTTCAGACAGACCAGGAAGGTCTGCAGCTTCTTCAACTGTGACTCCGCCCACTCCTCCAGACCCGCTTGCAGCAGATGTGAGTAGAAACTCAGGTTTTTACGTTAGTGATGGTTTGATTAAAAAGTGAGCTCAGAGTTCTGCTACACATTTCTCTCTTTTTCTGTACAAATTTTCTGTCTTTCACTTCTTTTTCTTTTCATTTAAGCCTTTTAATATTTTAGTTTACAATTCAGATACTAACTGCATTAACATCTGCTGCCAATTCCCCGTTAAGCTGATGTTGTCGTTTCACGCTGGATTCCTTTATTTCCAGGCAACTTGCAGCCTGGAAAGGCCTTCCAGCCAGACTGCTCTGACGCCTCCAGTCAGGAAGAAGGTGAGCGGATGAAAAATGAATTTCTCCTGGGGATGGGTTCTATTCCTGACAAAAAGCTGAGCTCCACGGCGGCTGGAGGAAAGGGGTTTATTTTGGGACGTCGTTTGGAAATCCTCTGTCTCAAATCCTCATGTTTCAAAGCTATATTTACTCTAGTTGATGCTGATCTCAGGTCAGCTCAGTCAGCGCCGGAGGTTTTGTCTTCCACTGGTGGAGCAGTTTTACCATGCAGAGCTTATTAATGCGCCGTATTCTGAATTTTTTTCTCGTTAGTCACAAATTAAGAGTTCATTTATTGATGGATAAAAGCTGGGTTTGATTACAGGAAGTGGAAAGAATAAAAAAGCCAAAGTGCTGGGAGGCATTTTTATTATTCCCTTAAAAAACATTAACCTTAGTTGGATTGTATGGAAGGAATTTACACTAGAATGATCTTTGATATAAACTAAATTCTCCAGCTTTGAAGCAGGGCCGCCACCAACCTGTAACTTTAGAGGTGGACCAACACCTGCGGAGGTTCCTGTCCGCCACTGAGCTCTGGAACCCCAGTGAAATGGATCAGAACCACTGATCATTGATGTGACAGTGAGGAGTGGATAATGTGATCGGTTGTGAATTTTGATCTAGTTTTTGTGGCTCTTTCCCCACAGAGGGGTACGTTCAAGGGCACAAGAAGAAACACGCATCTAAGAGTCCAAGTCAGCTGTGAGTACCACTGTCAGATCATCGCCGCAGCGTGGTGCACGTTTTACCGCGGCTCATGGTCGGTCATCTTTCTCTCCGCCAGGTCGTCGTGCACAAGAAGCCCCCAGGGGGACAGCTGGAGGGGAGGCCATGCAGCAGAGCTGAACGGACCCTCTGACAGAAGAAAGAAAGGTGGCCCACCGAGGAAGAGCCAGGAAGCAGAGCAGGTAGGAACACGTCCCGCTTCCTTCAGTCGTTTTAAATTCCTCACCGGAAAATGTATAAAGTGATTAGTGATGCTCCTCTGGAGCTCCACTTTGGGTTCTCCTTCTAACTCCTGTTCTTCCTCCAGCAGCTGGATCCCAACAGGAGAAACCAGCCTACCCCTAAAACCAAGAGCAGGTTTTTACCCGTAGAGAGGTAAGTTCTTTGAACACCAACCCACAAACAATAAACGACCCAGACTGTGACACGCTGCAGTTCTTATTAGTGAAAAGGCTGGTTAGAAATGCAGGGAACCACCAGGGGGCGCCCTTTGGAAGCCTAAACAGACCTCTACATGTCTGCTGATAAAAGTTCTGAGCAGGGATTGAATTTGAACGATTCTGGTTCCTTTCTCCTCCTGATTCTGATTACTTTAAGAAGAAAAGTCACTAAAGTAAAAAAAAAAAATTTAAATGAGCTCCGTCTGGATGAAGAAGTCTGAAAGTCTGGATTAATTTTATTTTTATGAACATTTGGGACAGACACCGAGGACCAGTGTAGGTATCAGATCTGCTCGGGGTCCTGCCCCTTCTTATGACATCATCATATGGTAACTCCACTCAGACAAACTGTATTGCACCAGTTTGTTTCTAATGGATCAAATCTCTTTTTGGGTCTCAACATATTACTACCTTTATTTGCTATTATTTAAAAATTTCATGGGAGATCTAAAGTAGGTAAAACTAGAAAACAGTCATTGTCAGTCTTAAAGGAAAGCACAGCGTACTAAGAGTGAGCTCTGCCATTTAACAAAGTGACAAAAAGTCTCAGCTCATTTTTATTCTCTTAATTAAGATTTGAGGCAGAGGAGGTCAAGTGGAGCATCTTAAAAATTACTTTCATAGAGATTTTAAATAAATAAAACACTTATTCTACTCGTCAAAGAACTGTTTTGTTGTTGTTGATGCAAATTTAAAAGTAGTGTAGCTTAATGTGGCTAACCGACCAAGCTAAAAGAGGCTAGCTTGTTAGCTACGATCAGGTAAAACCTCATCAGTCATTAGACATGCTAACACTACAGATGCTCCCTCGGCGCACTGACGCTGCATGATGTTATTATCGTTGTCTGGGCAACCGTTATGTTTTACATCATGTGGCAACGTTCAGCCAATCATGTAGCGTAAGGTCAGTGGCATGAAGCAGGAGCCGAGCAGATCAGGTAGCTACAGCGGTTCTAAACGTTCCAGTTCTCCTGGAACTAGTTAACATTTTTAATTTTTCAGTACTAATTCCAACGCTCCATACGTCAGAGGTAAGAAAAAGCTGCAGAATACCAATGGACAGCAGTCTGTCTCATTGCCTGCACGTTCATGATGGAATGAAATAGGGCTGCAACAACGAATCGATAAAATCGATAAAAATCGACTTTTAAAAGCGTTGGCAACGAATTTCATCATCGATTAGTTGTGTCGCGCGATTATTGCGTCATCCGCCGCGCCGTCATCACTGCCTCTTGACTGAAAGAGGAAGAAAAAAAAATATGGCAGAGCGAGTCAGCGCCGCAGGTGCAGTGTTGCCAACTCCGCGACTTTTCAGACCCCTCCAGCGAATGTTTTTCAAAAAAGCGACTAGCGACAAATCTGGCGACTTTTTTCGGTGTCACTGGCGGCTTTTGGAGACTCTTACGTGAAAGCATGCATGTTCCTACTCTGCCGTGGGGCGCCTCCCCCACCCCAACCGCGTTTTCCCGCAGGAGTCCCTCTCATTCAGAGCCTCAGCGTCCAGACTGCAAATGAAGCGCGCATGCACCGGGATTGACGGCGCAAATTGATCACAATAATTAAAATAGCCTGCGCTTTGTAAAGCGAAAAAAGTGATAACATGCAACTTTTTTCAAAAGAAATTAACATGGCACGGAACCACCATGTTTGTTTGGTTTTAAAGTGGGGAAACGTAAGTTAGTTTCTCAGGTAGCTCATCTGATGCTTTTCTTACCGTGTTAGTAGGTTACAGACAGTGATAAGGTTGGCTACTTATTTTACTTTTAATTTCATTTGAATTAGCTTAAGCAGCGTTTATATTTACTTTATAAATAAATTAACTTGCAAATTATGAGGGCAAGACTTTTAAAGTTTAAATCTTCTGGCAAAGATAAAGTAAAGATGATCCTGCAATTTATAGAAGTAAAGCAGAATAAAATCCAGCAAGATCAGTAATATGTCAATTAATTATCTGCCACATTCCCATGTAAATATCTGTCTTTGGAGGATGTGTTTTTTACCACCCCTAGTTCTCTCATTTTTATTCCAAATACAATTTATAATTTGAATCACAGGGCTATTTTTATCTCTATGGTTCAGTATTTTCTCAAGTAGCAACTTTAACTGCTATACTTTCCTGTCTTAAAAGGCAGAACTCTTCTAGTCTAAAAAAACTCATTTGTTGAAATGGGGGGGCCTATTGTTTGAACCCCTTAGGGGCTTTTAAAAACAAAAATGTCTTTTTTTGCGCTTTATGAAACAAAGTACCCTATATTTTGTGGATGTACAGCTACATTTCTCATGTAAGTTTGCGTAGTTTTAACACAAACATTTATTTTTCATATTGCACCAGTACAGTTAATGAGCAACCTGTACTTGTGTGCTTGTTTGTTCTGTCTATAATGTTTATTTTGGAATAAAGAGGTTAATATAAAAAATATTTTTTGTCCGATTCATCGATTAATCGAAAAAATAATCGTCCGATTCATCGATTTTTAAAATAATCGTTAGTTGCAGCCCTAGAATGAAAACCACTTCAACCTAATTCTGCCACACTTGGTGTTCGTCAAGAAAACTTTATTCATTGTTTATTTTAATTTATTTCACATCTGTTTCATTTGATTAAACCCACTAACTAAACAACAGACTTATGGATCTGATCTTTCCTCTGTCCAAAAAAGCACAACATACCTACTTCCATTCAGTCTACACTGACTATGTGTAACAAACAGGAAAAAGACGACTTTTCCTAAGAAAATCAGCAACGCAGATCAGATGTTGATCCTCATTTGCTTATAAATACAAACACACATTTAAACATAAATGCGGCTTAAATTAAAGATGTATGTTTTCTCATGATATCCACATGAAATGGGTCGAGCCATTTATCTCTAATTCTTTATTAGACCCGTAGATGTCTGCAAAGAGACATAAAACACAACAAGTTCTGAAAACACCATAAATAACTGTCCTTTATGTTAGTACACTTATATGAATAATTACCATATTTCTTTTTGATAAACTTACAACGCATTGAGTTGGACCATTCCTCTGAAGCGTGTCGATGCTGCCCCCAGCTGGTGTAGATAAGAACTGCTTGTTCCGAAGGTGGTGATTAATGTGAGAGCAACCAATCACCAGGTATCACTATTTTATCCAGACAGATCTCTGGCGAAAAAAGTCATTTAAAATATCATGATCCTTCCTGTTAAAGATTGAATGAAGAATCAGGAGGAATGGAATAGTTGAAATTCAAACAATTTGATTGAAAACGAATGAATTACGATGCGTTTTAGAGATGTAGGTGGCGCTGCCATGTGGACAATAAAACCTCTGGTAAATCCTAGCATTTAAGATGATACATGGATGCGTTCAGCAGTTATTACCGGAGTTTATGTGACCAGCTTCCAACACTGTTCCCTCTACTGCTATCTTCCGTTAATGTTTGGTTTGATTGTTTGTAGCAGTTTTGTTTTAGTTTGAATTCACTCCATGTGATATTTTTCATAATTTTTATTCTTGTAAGAAGAAGTGATATCTGCCTCAAAAACTGACATACAGTTTAGACTTATGTCCAAAACGGCATCAGGCTTACAATAAAACCTGTATCAGCAGATCTTTGCTGCCTATTAGAGTAAAGTGTCAGTGAGGGTTGCTTAAACAGGCCAAATGACCAAAAGTGACGTCATTATGCAGAGTTTTAAGGTAAGTCCTCTAAAGGATCTTCACTGTGAGTTAAAACAAAGACTACAGGGGCCTTTTTATTTTTATCCAGCGTTTTATTGTCATTACACTGTAAGAAGTACAGAGCCCTCTCTGCATTTAATCCATCCCCTTGGGGAGCAGTGGGCAGCCATTGTGCTGTGCCCGGGGAGCAGTGTGGGGTTAAAGGTCTTGCTCAGGGAGCCAGAGTGGCAGTCTGTGGGAGTGGGGCTAGAATCAGAACCTTAAGATTCCAAGCTCTACGCCCTTACCACTAGGCCGCCCCCAAAGCAGGTATTTGCATGAAGGGTGTTGCCTATTGAGCTAGCCTGCCGCTGACAAACGAGCTAGCCAGGACTAGAATCTAGAGTCTCCTGATCCGTAGTCAGATTCGTTATCATCACGCCATTAGCCCAACCTGAAAACGTCTTGCTCAGGGACCCAGAGTTCAGGCTGTGGGGATCAAACCAGGTACCTGCTACCTTCTCAGAACACAGGCGCTCTGCTCTAATCACTAGGCCAACACTCCCGTTATAACAATCTTCTTTTTAGCCGGATTATCTGGTCCAAAATTTATGGACCTCCCAATCCGCCCTTATGGTGACATCTTCTTTCCCTCATTTCTACCTGCAGGGACAAGGGGACTATAAAGGGTGACGGACCTGCCTTCGTGACAAACGGCGGCTTTCTTCCAGCCTTGTCCCCGCAGAGGAAAGGTAAGAACTGAAAGGCGACCACCTGGGTTAATTTGAGCAACGGGTTTTAAGAAGTTCTGTCCCTAAATGCTGAGGAGGTTTCTGCTCCGTCAGTCACTCCCTGATGTCTTACAGCTGGAGCTTCACATCCCGACGTGTTCGGGGAAACCTCGTCTGAAAGCTGCAGCTCTCCTTCCAGCCCTCAGTACCGAAGACGCCAGAGTCTGGAAAGCGACAACGACAACAACAAAGGTAAGGCGGAGCCTCACACCAGCAGGTCCACCTGTGGCTCTGTGATGTTTTCCTGACCGTCCGTCTCTCTCAGACACAGACAGCCACTCTGATGACGGCGGTAAAGGCGCGGCTCCTGATCTGTTCTACACGCGGCAGAGCGATGCGGTCGCCATGGGAGATGGCGCCTCGGTGCTTCCTATGTCTTCCAGCAGTCACAAGCCTCGGGTGGAGCCCCCCCTCCCAGAAGCCGGCGCGGAGTTCCCCCCGCTGCCCTACATGCCCTCTCTGGGCTGCCTGCTCCCGAATGGGGCCGCCGATCCTGACGGCAAGCCGCTGATGATGCCGATGGCCGTCCAGGGCCCCGGGATGGTGGGGGACGCAGAGAAGAGGGAGGTGCTGACGACGTTCGGGGCCCCGCCTCTGGCCCTCCAGCCGCTAGTCCAGAGGTTTAGGACGGCGCTGTCCCATAACCAGGGCGCTGCAGACGGACCCCCCGGTGCTGATTCTGCCGCCCTCTCTCACCAGGCCCCTCTAAGAGCTCTGGGCTCCATGTCCCCGGGGCCCTCCCCATACTCTTCCCCCCCGCTGCCCCCACAGGATCCAGGCCTGCCTCACATAGAGGCCCCCCACTCCAAGCTGCACGCCCTTAGCTTACCATCTCCCTACGCCCTGGCCCCTGTTCCTCCCTCTGTCCTGCCCCCTCTGGGGGCCCCTGTGGCCCCTGGAGTGGCTCCATCTCCTGCGCCAACAGTTGTCCCCTCCAACTCCCCCGTGCCTCCCCCAAGCCTCAGCCCGGCGCTCAGCTACAGCGTGACGCAGACGGACTCGCCGTCGTACAGCAGCCCCAGTGCTTCCTGTGGAAGTGCTTCTGTTGCCCCTGGCAACCCAAACCCCGTTCAGCAAACCCAGCAGCAGCAGATGCCCCCTCAGCAGCAAACGCCGCCACCCGTGGGATGTGGGACCTGTGGTTGCCATAACAACTGCGGCAGCCGCGTAGGAAGCTCCACCGCCTGTCAGCCCACCTTCTACTACCCCCACCAGATGGCAGCAGCGGTAGCTCGCCAGATGTTCGGCGTCCCTCAGTCCCTCCTCTACCTCACCCAGGCTCAGGCTCCTCCCCAGGCCAACGGACCCCCCACCCTCCCCCCGTTCTTCCCCACAGGTCCGCCCCCCGTACACCCTTCCCCCTACCTTCACCCTCACAGCCAGGCCGAGGCGCCGTCTCACATGATGGCCGCCGCCAACTACGGCCTCCAGCAACAGATGGCGCAGGCCGGTTCCTTCTCCCAGCGCCTCTACCAGCACGTGTACCCAGGTCACCTGGGGATGCCGCCCGCCACCCTGGGAGTGGGCGGGATCAACAAGAAGAACGGCTCGGTGTCTTGCTACAACTGCGGCGTGAACGGACACTTCGCTCAGGACTGCAACCAGTCCACCATGGACGCCACACAGCAAGGTAAGGAAGCCTGGAAGGAAGAACGTCTTTGCAACAATAATGGAATTCCATAAAAGAAAATTAAAAACAAGGAACTGGACTTTCTTTCCAAGTTTGAAGACGTTTCGCTCCCCATCCAGGAAACTTTTTCAATTTAAAATTTTAGAGATAAGAGTTGAGTTTGAGGTTTTATCCAGCAGCCCAACAAAGCCTTGTTTTTATTTTGAAAACATGCAAATTAAAACAGACGAAAGGCTCCACCCCATTGGAATGGGGGTCGTTTGGCTTCTTCCTGCAATGCCTCATACCCATATAAGGCGACATTCAAACCGCAGCCTGAAGTGACCCAAATCCGATTTTTTTGGCCCATATGCGACCTGGATCTGATCTTTTAATGGCAGTCTGAACAACTCGGATCCAATTTTTTCCAACGCAATCAAGGCCACTTGGCTCTGTGGTCCTGAATCCGATCAAATCTGATCTTTTCAAATGCGACCTGTGTCTGAACATCCAGGTCGCATTCATCCGACCTGAACGTCATTAATACCCGACAAAGGTCACTATTCTGCTTCTTGCTACGCAGAAGTGGCAAGAAAAACAACAACCATAGCAGACGATGATGCGGAGAGCAGTATTTATGTTTAACCATCTTGAAAAGATTGTGTTTTTAAGGTAGGGAAAGATCGCCAGATGCACTCCAGCTCTACCATCCATGTTTACTTCCTTAAACACAGAGTACGCTGGCCTGTGACGTCATTCCGTCCTCTACTGCGCATGTGGGGCACTTAGGTTGTATGAATGCAGTTCACACAGGAGATCACATATGAGGCGCATATATTTGGAAATATGAACAAAAATCAGAATTTAACATCAAGGCCTGCAGCGTGACGTAGCCTAAGTGTCTGAAAGGTCGGTCGTTAAAGGGAATTGTTGTCCTGGCTGAATAAATGAGGTCCTCCGCTCTCCTGTTCAGGAGCTGGGGCTGCGATGATGGCGGGAAGTCATTAACTCAATAGCTGCATTGTAGGTTTTTGAAAGCTGGAACCTCCGTCTGTTTCTATTTGCATGTTTTCAAAACAAAAACAAGGCTTTGATGGGCTACTGTATAAAACCTTGAACTCAATGCTATTCCTGACATTTTTAATTGAAAAAGCTTCCTGGATGGGAAGCAAAACGTCTTCAAACTTGGAAACAAATCCAGTGGATTATTTTTAATTTTCTTTATTTGGAATGACTTTGACCTGGATGACTGAGAACCTTCACCACAACAATAATGGAACTAAATAGCCTCCATACATCCAGATGTTTATTATCAGTATTTGAAAGGTTCCCAGGGCGGGCAGGTGGAGCAGTGGTTAGCACCACAACCCATAGCTGGAGGCCTTAGTCAGGTGCAGGCGACCCAGGTTCGAATCCCACCTGTGGTCCTTTGCTGCGTGTCTTTCCCCGTCTCTCACCCCCCCCTTTCCTGTCAGCCTACTGTTGAAAACAAGCCACTAGTGCCGTTAAAAACTAAAAAAAAAAGTAGTATTTGAAAGGCTTCAGTTTATTTTTATAGCACTAATTCACAACACAAGTCATCTCAAGGCACTTTACATTTCAACCAGATCATACGAGTTCAACCAGATCATCTATGGAGAGATATTTGTGCCATCGGTTTGAACGCGCATGAACCAATCCGAGCGCTCAGTGAGACAACATGCGCGCGCGTAAATATCTTAAATTAACTCAAATAAACTTCAGTAAAACAGTTATAAGATCATTGCCTCATCCATCTCTTTTACCTGCTATTGACATGGATTTAAATTTGCTGTTTAAAAGAAAAATTAGGATATTTCAGATTTAAGTATGGTTCAACAATATATAGATAAAAAAAATATTATATATTTTATAGTACTATCTTCTGTCCATCAAATGGTTAGGAGTGTTGACCAAATAACTGCAGGAGTTGTTTGATTTTCCTGATTGTATTTTTATTTTTTTTTCCCATTTAACTGGATGTAGTATTTGCAACCAATGCTTTCATTGGTTGATGCGCGCGCATGTGTTGTCTCACTCCGCGCTCGGATTGGTTCCTGCGCGCTCAAACCGATGGCACTAATATCTCTCCATAATCATCCACTCTCCCCCTCTTCCGTTTCCTTTTTCCTCCCATAACGGACGGATTGTATCTGTGTCTGCAGGTGGCTTCAGGCTAAAATACGCAGCGTCCAACATTTCAGAAGCACTTGACAATGCTGACTGAAGAAGAGGAAGGACGATGGTGATGGTGCTGATGTCATCATGATGTGACGGGCCTCTGTTGGTCCCAGGTACAGCAGCGCGTCCAAGCGCCTCTGCACCACCTGCCAAGGGCTCGGCGGACCAAGCCTCAGCAGACGTGCCTGACAGATCTGTTGTTCCCATGGAAACGACGCGCAGTCTCCCACAGTCATGTGACCCCCTCCCCCCCTCTTCAGTTCCTTTGGACATTTTTGCACTGAGGGTTGGAAATTAAATTATTACTTAATAGGAAGATTTTAAGGATTTTTTTTTTTTTTACTGAGAAATAAGACTTGAGTCTCTGCTTAATTGTTCTGATCCACTTATTTCTTAAGGAGTCTATTTATGTTTTTATTTTCTTCGCTTGACTTTTAATTGTTTGGATGAATTGTACAGCTGTTTTCACTAACCGGCAAAGAGTCCCGTAGAACAGAAGGAGGGTTTATCTTGAAGTTCTCTGCACAGTTTTGAATGTAAACCTTTGAATTTAGGAATCTGTATATTTAAGGATTTATTTTCATGGATATATTAATCGGCTGCGGTGCAGAATTTCAGGCGAGGAGACCGTCGCTTCTGAGACGTTTCACCGTTTTAAAATAAGGAATATCCGAATCGTTTGATTCAGAGAGAGAATTTTTCACAGCAGGTTCTTTACTTTGCCTCTGATCCACACAGATTAACTGTTGGTATTTGCTTTTAGTATATAAAAGTAATCCTTTTTTTTATATATTAGTTGATATTTTAGATAGAATGAGATGTCTGTTTTAAAATCACACTAGAAAAAAAAAAAAAAACTTGATTTCCTGCCCAATTATTCAGACATCACGTTTTTAACCTTTGGTTATTTAAACTGAAGCTCGATGTGTCAGAAAAATAATTTTTTTTTTTAATATCTGGCATTTAAAGATCAACAACTTGAAAAAGATAATTGTGTATTAATCCCGACAAGACGTAGAAAGCCACGAATGTATTTGCTGTGTTTGAACAAAAGTAGAACTGGTTCAGCCCCTTTTCTCAACCTAAAGCTCCAGTTGGCTGCTTGTTATATATTTCAACCTTTATTATCAGTTTGTTTTTACAGTAAAATAAATCAAAAGCTGCCTTCTACTGAAACCAGCTCACTGAGAGAAAACCAGACTGTAAAAACTGACCTTTACGTCTCCTTCTGTCAATAAAGGTTTCTATTTGACTCCTACATACATGACATCAGATGTTTCATCTGAGAGAATGCAAGTTTACAAAAAACAAGTTACAAAGTTAAAACTGACCAATTAAATATATCAGTCTAAAAATTCATAAGTACAGAAACAAATTCCAAATTTACTAGAACAAAATGTATTAAAGAGTGAATCGCATTTCCTTGAACGATTCGCAATTTTATATGAACTGCAAATTTGTAAGAAAAAATAAAAATATTTAAAATTCTTATAACGAATTTAGTAGAACAAATTGCTAATTTATTAGCATGCATTTAACATAAAAGAAAATCGCAACTCTACGAACAATAAATGTAATTGAAAGAATTACAAATTCATAAAGAATTTGCGAAAATTTTATTATATGACCGAATATAATTTGAGAAAAGGTCACAAATGTATTACAATCGATCAAAAATTGTAATGGAGAAAATCTCCAACCCGGATGATGCTGTTACACTTCTGACCACTAGGAGGCCGTAGCGGTCCTGAACATTGTTCCCAACCGGATATTAGTTGATCGTACGCAAAACTGTGTGTTTAAATATTTAAAACAGAGATAAGAAAACTATCAATGGATCAGTTTTAGTCTTTTTCTCGTTTAATGCTGGTTGATTAAGCTGCTTTACTGCCACCAGCTGGTCAGGAGTGTAACAGCTTCATATTTACCTTACAAAGCTGTCGCCGCTAAACTCGTGTTCTCCCAGATGAAACAAAAACCTTAAATCCTTTTGTTTAATGACTTACATTTGGAAATTCAGACATCTATGCGTCCTTTTAATGTTATCTTTCCCCGTATTTTAGCCTGTGGTTGAATTTTTTTTCTCATGTAAACCTTGTTAACTGACACTTGATGATATTTTGTTGATAAACTTGAAAATCTTTAATTTGAAGCAACGGCATCAGCGGTGGTTCTGTGGGACGCCAGGAACAGCGTTCAGCGATCAAACGTGAGCTTTTTAAAGTGTTACCAGAGATGACGGAGAAACGGCTGATGGACAGAAACTTGACTGTAACCGTAAATCAGCCTGCACTGATTCCAACCCTGTTCTCTGGGAGGAAGGTTCTAGAAGATCTGAGCGTTCTGGTCACTTCCTTCCTTTGCTGTTTTAGACTTTTTGCCTTTTTTTTTTAAACCACCTGGATTCTGGTGGAGACAGAAAGGCGCCGTATCGCCCCAGAGAGGACGTCACAGTGCATCTGTCCCTGATATGAAAGTCTCCACATTTATTTGGTCTCACAAGCCCCCCCACCTGCTGCTTGTATTTTTTTTGTTGTTTTCTGTGTTTGTCAGCCTACAGTCACTGCAGCTGATCTATGCATTCGCTCACACCTGTTATTCCTAAATGTGACCAGCAGGAGATCCTGGTGGAAAAACGCCGCCGGTCCAGAACCGATAGATCAGACTGCCGGTGTGGATGAAGGAGGAAGTCCAGCGTACATGCCGAGGCAGCGCCAAACAACCCGAGTATTGTTCCACTGACCCATTTGAACAATGCTGTACTGTAAATCTGCTAAGGGAGCTCCGTCTGCTGCTGCCCTCAGCCATTATGTTTACTGTACTTTGATATTAATGTACTGGAAAGGTCAAAATATATTTCTAGAGTGGAATTTGGATTTTATGCAAACTGATCTTTTTTTCTTTAATTATAAGCAATAAATAAAAAAAAAGGTTGTCCTGAATTCCTAATGATTGAAATCATTCGATGCAATAAACCACAGAAGATGCTTAGATTTGAAGTTAAAACAGAATAAATGTATTGATTAGAAATGAGCTCCGAACATAAAAATAAGGCTCAGATTATAGGTTCAATTAAAGAATCTGACCAATCAGGAGAGACTATTTCAAACACCTTAAAAACAACAAATACCAGAATAACTACAACAGAATAAATAGAACATTTTTAGAGATGACTGCAGCTCTCAGGTCTCTGGTTCGCAGCGACTCTATGAGGCTCTTGTTATAATCGGCCTCCTGCTGGGAGACGTTTTTAGCCACTGAGGCGAAGTCGCTCTCCTGATTCCTGGATGCAATGACTGATGATAAATTTAAAGAAAGGTCAGGAAATAGATCATCACTAAACGACTACGATAGATGCATCCTGAGGAAAAGTTGTAGGCATACAGGTAAAAGCCAGTAAATTAGAATATTTTGAAAAACTTGATTTATTTCAGTAATTGCATTCAAAAGGTGTAACTTGTACATTATATTTATTCATTGCACACAGACTGATGCATTCAAATGTTTATTTCATTTAATTTTGATGATTTGAAGCGGCAACAAATGAAAATCCAAAATTCTGTGTGTCACAAAATTAGAATATTGTGTAAGGGTTACATTTTTGAAGACACCTGGTGCCACAAACTAATCAGCTGATTAACTGTGGGGTAAAAGAAAGCCAGACCCAAAAAAGCAGAAGAGTTGAAGGCCACTATCAGAGCAACCTGGGCTCTCATAACACCTGAGCAGTGCCAGAAACTTACCGACTCCATGCCACGCCGCATTAATGCAGTAATTGAGGCAAAAGGAGCTCCAACCAAGTATTGAGTATTGTACATGCTCATATTTTTCATTTTCATACTTTTCAGTTGGCCAACATTTCTAAAAATCCTTTTTTTGTATTAGCCTTAAGTAATATTCTAATTTTGTGACACACGGAATTTTGGATTTTCATTTGTTGCTACTTCAAATCATCCAAATTAAATGAAATAAACATTTGAATGCATCAGTCTGTGTGCAATGAAGAAATATAATGTACAAGTTACACCTTTTGAATGCAATTACTGAAATAAATCAAGTTTTTCAAAATATTTTAATTTACCGGCTTTTACCTGTAGATAGGGTCCCTGAATCCTCAGGTGAGATGTGTGCTGACAGAGCTGCTGTCAGGAGGTAAAACCCTGCAGTTTCATCATACAGTGTGAGCTGTAGCGGCATGCAGCGATTGAAAATAATCGCACGGCGTATGACCGGCTTAACAGAGAGCATCAGTTCTTTACTTAACTCCCTTTCCAAAGAAAGACGGAAGTCCCAGTTAGACCTGGATAGAGTTCTACTGTTCATCTCCTGACAGGTAAAGGATAGACGCTAAAAACTGAGGTATTCTGACTGAGCCAAAGGTTCTGTCCTCCTAATCTCCTCTGCATCCTGCATGTGAATTTCTACCACATCTCATCCATAAATATTTTTTTAGTAATATTTATAGTCCGGTCCCTACGAGTTGATGGTCATCTTCCCCTAGTGGTCTGGAGAACTGCTGTGATGAGAGATAGATTTTATATTTTCAGTGTTTACACTTCTATCAAAAGCATCCCTTCATATCTTAACATTTAAAATGATTCATTAAATGTCAAACAATAAGTTGAAGGTCCTGGAACATATTTGAAAATAAGCATAAAGACATCCATCCTTGGAAGTGTTTGAAGGATGGCTGTCCTCACCCTCCACTGTTTTAAGACATCCTGCTGAATATTATTCCAGTTAAACTGTTTCAGTTCCAGATGTTTAGTCTTGGTTCTGAAAGATATTTTTTTCATTAGGTTGTTCTGCTCCAGGTTCTGCCACTTCCTGTCCAGATTAGTCAGCTAAGATACAGACACCAAAAGTAAAGGTAATTCTGATCAAATGTGATGAAAACATTAGCTGTGGGTGTCCATCCCTGTCCTGCTCTAACCTGAGTGTCCATATCGTTCTCCTGATGTTTGGTCTTCAGAGTTTTGTGTTTCTGGTTCATCTCCTCCAGCAGCTCTCCAAATGTGTCTCTACCTAGAGTCAGAAACTCAGGCTCCTCCAGGAGGCTCTACAGCAAAAGAAGATGAGAGGAGAGATGAGGTTTTTTTGTGTTTGACGGATCAGGATTGTTTAGCTTCCTTCTCCTCATCCTTTGCCGTCTGTTTCCGGATGTCCAGGTCTCTATAGGTGTTAAGCTCAGACTCCATGGTTCTGATCAGCTCCTTCAGGGTGCTGGTCTCTCCTGGGAGCTTACCTTTCTGCTGTCGCAGCTTCTGCAAGTCCTGCTGCAGCTGTCTGGACTCTGAGAGGGAGAGAAGTCGCCTCATCCATCTAAATCCTGCCGTAGTTTCCAGAGGGTTTAGGGCCGTCAGGTTGACTCACCTGTCGTCAGTCCACTCTGACCGGATCATGTCCGTCTCTTTGCTGAGCAGAACTTCCTGCATGCTCCTCAGCTCGTTGGTGGACACCCCATCTACACAGAGGAGCCTTATCATGATCTGTAAAGCAGCGTTCCTGCAGGGAGACGATGTTCTCCTGGCTCTTTTTTAACTTCTCCAGCTCCTCATCTCTGGTCTTCTCAAATAACTCCAAGAAACCTGGAAGCAGGAGGATGATTCCAAAAGACAACAGGCTCTAAACCTTCAGCCAGAGATGGGAAATGTGGAGCCAACAAGTCATTTCCATGTCATGTATTTGTTCTACCCACCAACTGAAGCAGGGGAGTCCAATCTCCCCCGCTTCCAACTACATCCCATTGCAGAAATACTGTGAAGCACGGTGGTGGAGGGGTGATGATCTTACAATCAACTCCATCCGTTCTACCGTTGAAACAGGAACATGATCCAAAACATCTAAAACTGCTTGGCTAAAAAACCTCTGCCTGACTAAACTGTTATGGTGGAGTTAGTAAAAGATACCGAGGCTGTACTTTGGTTTTAGTGCAATCCATTATTTTGAACGATTAAGCTTCGTTTAACATCCTAGATAACAGATAGAGGATAATTTTATGTATTTGTAGAATAATTTAGAGGCTCCTCCTAAGGGTCCTGTAGCCAGTAGATGTTTTATGTAGATGATATTAAGCTGTTACTCATAATTTGCACATAAGACAATATGAGACATTCCTCGTCATCCTTCCTGCTGGAACTAAAATCTCCAGAGCGCATGTTCAGCCTCGACCACGGAGGAAGAACAACGAGGAAGTAGAGAGCAGCGGATAAGACTTGATTGGTCATAAATGGTTAGCCAGTGGAACGGTTCAAAGCAGTTCAAGTTTTACAGGGAGCAAGGGTCGGAGGCTCTGCCAGCTGCTCAGAGGCAACAGGTGAAGAGGTTCAGGTGTGGAAACACAGGTAAGAGTCTTTCTGGGCTAAACTCTCATATGATTAACAGCTTCTACCATGGCTGACATGTTTCAGTTTGGGCTGCTATAGCATCGCTTCTTCTGTGAACGTCAGTCTTTGCAGCTTCCTGTGATTTATTTAAAACTGTCAGATTGTGTCAGTGCAGACAGATGGTTGTGCAAGAACAGACAAGACCGGGCCACAGCGTTTAGACAGTTGCAACATAAGAGTTTTGTGGCTTCAGCATTTTTTTTAAAAAAGCTTAGCGAACTGTACCAGCTGTCAGAGAGGATGTAGATCTGGGGACGGCATGAAAAGGAGCTTTTTGTACGTCTTCCAGACCTTATATCGCAGAAGGAGGAGGTCTGTGGGACCACAGGAACCTCCTGAAAGTTCTTCTTATGCATGAGTTTGGCAGAAAACGTCAATGTGAGTCTGAGACATTAGAAGAAACCAAAACAACAAGCTCTGAGGAACAAATTTCCTCTGTTCAGAGTGAAAGAAAGGAGCAATTCTTTGGGGTTTTCTCTACCCTTCTTATGCTGATGGTGCTATATTTCTCCATAAATCCAGATGAAGCTAACCCATTACATAGATTACAGGCATGTCTTGAAGACATAAGAACCTTGATGACTCTTAACTTCCTGCTTCTGAATGCAGACTAAACAGAAGTTATAGTCTTTGGACCAGAGTCTCTGAAAAAGAAGCTGATTAGTCAGTCACTTTATCTGGACGGGATTACATTAATCTCAGAGTATAATATAAAAACAGTGTTTGTGTTATTTTTGATCAGGACTTGATATTTAAATCCCATATCAAAGAGTCTTCTAGAATTTACTTTCATCTCAAGAATATTGCAAAAATCAGAAATGTCTTGTCCAGTTGTGATGCTGAGAAAATCCTGTGAAGTCAGTCACTGGATGCCATTAGCTGTCTTTCTTCTTCAATAGAAAACGTTAACCAATCTGACTAATCTGTGTCTGTAAAGTGCATTGAGATTACATGTGTTATAAATTGTCCCTATAGAAATAAACTGAATTCAATTAAATTAAAAACTTGGTTTTGGTTTCATTTTCCAGCAGCTCACAACAAGAAAAGAAATCTGAAGATTTAAAATGCTAAATAAGGAAATCAGGCCAAGCTCCATCTGATATCAGAGATCTGATTGTTCCTGATGTTCCTAACAGAGCACTTCGCTCTCAATCTGCAGGTTTACTAGTGGTTCCTAGAATTTCTAAAAGTAGAATGGGAGGCAGATCTTTTAGTTCTCAGGCTCCTCTCCTGTGGAACCAACTACCAGTTTTAGTCCGTGAGGCAGACACCCTGTCTACTTTTAAGGCTAGGCTTAAAACTTTCCTTTTTGATAAAGCTTCTAGTTAGAGTGGCTCAGGTTATCCTGAGCTATCTCTATAGTTCTGATGCTATAGGCTTAGACTGCTGGATGACATAGGGACCCCTTTTTCATCACTCTGCTTCATTCTATCTCTATTCTCCCACTCTGCAGAATCTGTTAGTTCAATCTCTAACGTTCTGCTCTCTCTGCTTTTTCTCATAGCAGCTTCATCTGGTCTGTTCCTGTTTGGCTGTGACTCCATCCTGGAGAGAAACATCAGCTGTGCTGCTCACACTGAGCCTGGTTCTGCTGGAGGTTTCTTCCTGTTAAAAGGGAGTTTTTCCTCTCCACTGTCGCTACAAGCATGCTCAGTGTGAGGGATTGTATTTGAGTCAATGAGTCGATGCAATCAACTGGTTTTCCTTAGATAGAAAACTTTGAATTAAAGCGCCTTTAGATGACATGAGTTGTGAATTGGCGCTATATAAATAAATTAAACTGAACCAAAATCACTTCTAAGATCAGTATGAAGCTTTTTTACTGGAAGATGCTTGATTTAGCTATCTTTGCTGACTGATATAATTTCTCTCCTATGATATTACAGATTAACTCCTTCCTGACTCAGGTGATCTATTTTGCTGTTTGTCTCTGAAGTAAAATGATGGACTGTTGCTGGCAGTTCCTCCTCCTCCTGCCTTTACTCAGTGCTTATTGTGAAGGCACAAATACATCGGTATGAGATTTTTCTTTAACCCATTTTTTATATTTACTTCTTTCCATGTCCTGTTCATGGTTGTCCTTCCATTTTAGTTGATCAAAAACCTAACAGACAACCTTCTGCAAACCGTCCCTCCTAATGTCAACGATTCTGATGTTCAAACGCTGGTGATTGAAGGGAGTCAAATCACTCTGAACGAGACGGACCGACTGGCCTTTAACAGTTATCCCAAGATGGTTGAACTGCATTTAGATGCTAACCAGGTCACTACCATACCAGCCAGGTACTTCTCTGGGCTACCATTCCTCAGAGTGCTAACCCTAGCCAGGAACAACATCAGCAGGTAACCAACGACACAAAAATACAGTGGCCCTAAGGTTCACGGCTCATGATTTTTGTTTTTGTTATTGTTCTTGTTCCAGTTTGGACCCTGAGGCTTTCTCTGGCTTGGATGTCCTGGAACAGCTGGACATGTCCTACAACAAGCTGACAGATCTCCCCGCAAAGCTGATCACCGACTTAAAAAGTCTAAAGGTTAAATTGGTCTAGATTTATCAAACATCATAGAAAGAAAGCCCTGATTTGTTCACATCTTCCAGCAGATGGACAAAAAGAACCAATCACAGAATGAATGGAGATCTCTTTATGAAAGAACATGAGGATCATTGTGGGGGTTGGATTATGCCAGGTGGTTGTAACTGTAATTTTAGCCACTAGCTGCAAAGTTTTTCCAAAAAGCCTTTTAATGTTGTCCTGTGAAATGGCATAAAAGAAAAGGTAACAGACAGTGTATTTCGTAAGAGGAGTGTCATGATTATAATAAAGATCTGACCCCAAGATGCAGAAGACCAAACAGAGAGACCAAGGAAAAGTTTAAACAGGTTTATTTTAGGAATAATTTGATGAAATCCACTGCTGCTCAGAGTAGAATGAAAAGAGTCCAGTGTTGCTGTGAACAGGGCTCAACCGGAACTGGAAGGTGAGGGGAAGACACTGCGGTTAGTTCAGGCTCAGTGGGAAATATGAATCTTTGGTTTTGCATAGGAGGAAAAGGTTGCAGACTCACTTCTCCAGGAAAAAGTTTGCTTTATGGAATCCAGACTGTGAGGATTGTGCCAGAGATTGTCTTGTTTGGTGATGGGCAGACTGGGTAACTCAGACTGCAGTTGTTCCTTGGTGAATGGAGAAACTGACTTCCACTCAGATTTCCTGCTGTACTTGAACGGGCTGTAGTGCAGATGAAACCTTTGCTTGGTGTGAAGCTCAAACGACTACTTGGGGAAAGTGGGTCTAAACTTCCTGTTTGGAACCTCAGCTCAGTTAGAAGCTCAGTAGAACCTTCCAGAGAGAGAAGGACCGAACAAATCCAGTTTGCAGGATGACTTCCTGCCGAGAGGCAAAGACAAAAACAAATTTAAGATTCAGGTTGACAAAAACTCTGTTTGACTCAGAAAAACTCAGCTTGACTAGAGAATCCAAAACTGGCAAACAAAAACTCAGGTTAGACTCTGCTAAACTAAGCATGGCTAGAGTACCCTGTATTGGCAAACACTCTGGCGTCGAGGTAGTGGCAGTCAGCAGCTTAAGAACGCTCCACAGGTAATGAGGCAATGAGCTGCAGGTGTGCAGGGAGACCCAATGAGGACGGGGCACCACCTGGTGGAGGAGGAGAGGAAACACAAAAACAGACCACACAAACTGGATTCCTGACAAGGAGCCTTTTACATTGACCAGCTTTGTTTTGGCTGTTCTTGTTAGGTACTGCACCTAGAAGGAAACCCCTGGAACTGCTCCTGTCCTTTGCTGAACACCGTTAGAAAGATGAAAGAAGCAAATGTCACGATCGGTAAAAAGATTTCTTAGCCAACACACAGCGACCAGCACTAGTTGTTACTAACAATCTAACCTAAATACCGGGATGGCTTTTGTCGTCTTCTTCTACAGTGGGCCCGACGATCACCTGTGAATCTCCAGAAGAGAATAGAAATAAAAATCTCCTGGATTCTATCAATCTTTGTTTCACATCAACTCCAAAACCTGTGCAGATAGAACCAAGGTCCACATCAACACCAGGCACCTCTCAGCAACCCAAAGGAGTCAACAAGGTGTCGATAAGCCCTTCAACAACTCAGAACTGTACCATCGGTGCAGGTATGTTCCACCTTTCTTCTACTTTGGGCCTTTCTTCCTCTAAACTTGGCAACTTCAGGTCTTTCGAGTTTAACCCACTCCAGTGTGAAAGCATAACCCCACACAGAGACATTCTTTTGCCGGTGGCAAGAGATCCTGAGGGGCAGGAATACATACGAGCAGAGGTGTTGTCAGGACAAGAGAAAGTGGCAACTAGCTTAGCCTAGCTTAGACACATGAAGCACAGAAAGACCCCAGAGGGATGCTGGTAGTTAGATCTTTTAAGATTAACTCTTTTTCACCTCATTGACACTGGAGGTTGATGAAACATTTGGAAAGCCCAGTGGGTCAGGTCTTCAACAGTTCGAGCTACTAGTGCCAAGGCAGTGGAAGACAGGATAACTCACTATAAAGCAATGCCTCTGAGATTTATTTATACCAGAATGAGGGGCTTTGATGATGAAAGTCTTTGCCTTTGACTTAGGCACGTTCAAGCATGAACTGTTTGAAAATTCAACTGCAATAGCCACTGTTCAAAGAGGGCAGTAATGGAAGTTTTAAGAAAAATTTTGCAGAGCTAAACAAAAAGGCAATAGCTTCAAGCTTAGCTTTTTCTTGCCAGTAGGTTTTGCAATAATGCTTGCCCACTCTCTTTCAGACTGTCAGTTGTACAGTTTGCCATGCCCATTAATGCTAACTTCCCAGTTCAGAAGGAAAGCAGCACAATCTAACACCACTTTCCCACTGGCAGAAAAACCTGTTTACACCCGGGAACAATTGGCTTTTAGTGGCAGTGGGAACAGCTCACTGATGCCCGCCTACCCGGTGCAAATGACTCGCTTTAAAATCACCTCGGCTCTGATTGGCATGCTGTGGAAACACCAGACCTGGATTGACCTGCTAATTTACGTGACACCATTGAACGCAATGTACGGATGTGAGCACACCACGCCAGTCACTTCAGATCTAACTACCAGAAACAACTCTGTTTACAATTGTTAAAAACTTTGCAGCACTGCTAAGAGGGATTCTGATAGATAAAAGACAGAAATAACAAAGAATATTTACTACGCCCTGGCTCCCGTCCATGTTGCTCTCCATTATTTACTTCCCTGATTTCTGTCGTACTGTCGACATCATCATCGCTCACTCGGTGTGACGCTGTCATTAGACATGCAGCGGAGGGGGACAGAGGCCACATAGCTCCCAGCAGGGGGCCAGAATAAATTTTTCGGTCAAACTGGAAAAGAGCCAGAAGTCAATTTTTAGCGGTTTTGAAAAACCTGGGTTTTCAGTGGGAAAGTGGCTTAAGTGGCTTCTTAGCTTCATTAAGTCAGCACCAGTGCTCAAAAGCTTGACCAATGCTTACCCTCATTTTGCTTATTTTTTAATCCTGTCGTATTGTAACCCAGGCTTTCCCTCTTTAACCTGCAACTGGTGGATGACACCCTATAGACTCTGCATTGTGTTTTCTTTTGGGTGAAGGTGGGATGCGTTCCGTGCAGAAGAGGAATCAGACACAGGGCTCTTAGTTGTGGGGAGACCTTGGAGCGTTTATTTTGTCCACCTTACAGGCAGTAAAACACACTGTCAGCAACCGTTTTTCTTTCTTTCTTTAATACAAAATAATCAAACATCACCAGTACAAAATGTAATATGTACTTAACTGGCAAACTAAACAAATACAAATAGCTCAGTATATTAGTGTAACGTATATTTTACACTGGGCTAGCGGAGCTGCTGCTTACCTTACAGGAAGTAAAACACACTGTAAGAAATACAGCAGCTCCTGTACAAAAATCTCCTGTACTACGGTGTCCCCAGCAGGACAAACATATTAGAATTGTAGTAATGCCAAGCAATTACAGAAAGCAACAGCAAGATCCTGTGGAACATTTATGCACTGCTTTACAGTATCTATGATATGTAACTCTGAGTGAATAGGATCTGAGCTCAGACTTAAACCTTCTATTCCTATTTGGGTAGAATCCTTTCATGATGATATCGGCAATAAAATATTAATATATTTTGGACCAGTCACAATTTGTAAAACAATTATTTATATACTATTCATATTTCTCTCCAGTTTTTGTCTTTTTGTTATAAATAATCTATTTTTATTCTGCACGTACGTACCTACGTATAGGTTCAGGCACGCTATAAGATGTCTAAAGTGTTTTCTACTTTACATCAAAGTTACCCCTCATAGGCCAGGTCTATAAACTTAAAGTGCAAAGAGGGAATTATGGGGTGAGTTACCCTTTATGACTGACTTTTCATCTTTTATCGTCGAGCAGGTCGGAAACCTGCGCTTGGCCACACCTGGAAGTTCACAGCCTGCGTTGCCGCCTTGGCCATCGCCACCTGCGCCCTCATCCTTGCCGCCATCAAGGGACCTTCATGGTACAAATGCTTCCACAACTACAGGCATCGGAGGCTGTACGACGACAACGACGAAGACGAGAACGTCCCGGCGGTATTCTCTGAGACGGGGGGGCACGGCGACCTGCAGACCTTCGTGTTTGAAGAACTGAGTCATCAGATAGAGGAGGAAGACGGGGGCGATGGATACTTTGAGGATCCGTACATCAGGAGGGCAGACGACCAAGACGGAGAGATTCTAAGAGGGGATATCTAACTAAACCAGATCTATAGTTTCTAGATCTGTAAATTACATTAATAGATTTTAATCTGATTCGTATGTGGAATAAGCTAGTCGTTTAGTTTCTCTGTACTGTGAAGAATGAAGGTGTTTACCAAACCTTCTGCACGTCATCAGAGAGCAGAGGGTCCACTGAGCCACAGGGTTATGAGGAGAAACCCAACATCAATATTTATTACATCTATTTTATCACAGGGTGGAAGGGGATGATATGGAGGAATCCAAGCGATTCAAAAACAGAGGCGGGTGTTCAACCTCATTTTTCAAGGGTTGGTGTCCCGCATGTTTTAGATGCTTTTACACAAATAGTGTAGATTCTTCCTAAGCTTCATTGAGCCACGAATAAAACCCAAAATTACCTTTATGTCCAAACCTCTGAAACAATAAAACAGTCTACAGTCAGTGGATTCATGGTAAAGAGGTTACTGACAGAAAATCAGCCAGTTGGGTCGGCCATGTTGGTGACGGAGAGGTTACTAGGTACAGCCCCCCCCAACCGCATGCTGATGTTCTAGAAAATACCTTTTCTTGCTACATGCAATCATCTGGACTTCCATACACACATGTTTTGTTACCAACCAGATTAAATGATTAACGCAGCAGAACTTTACTGTATATCAGGAATGATTGGATTAACCTGAATGTAAACTGGATTGAAATGGTATGAATTATTTTTATTTTTATATAAATTTCTATATAATTTGAAATAAGTTTGAACAAATTGTCTTGAGATGAGATCCGCTGTAAATTGTTGCTGTATAAAGAAACTGAATGGAACCCAGACTAAATGTCAGCTATCATCGTTTTCTTCTATTATATTTCTCCTAACCGCCCAGCTGGTGTCTAACAGAACAGCTTTTCCCAAACTTTCCACTCCTTCCTGCATAAAAGCTTTAACATTTGCAAAGTAACAGAAAATACTGCAAAATCTGGAAGAAGAAAAAAAAGAGAGTAAAGTAGGTATTATTTGTTGTTGGTTTGATGAAATTTTAACAGATAAACAGCTGAAGCAGAAACTAGGCAGGAATCCAAAAATCATCAAATCAAAAACATGAAAACAAAGTCAAAGAAACCAGAAACTATGGAGACATCAGGGGGGAAACCATCACGAGGAGGAGGACTCAGAGAGACGGAGCTGGAGGAAGTTAGACAAGGAACCAGCACTGAGGAAATGAACAAAAAGAGTATTTATGGGAGACTGAAACAAAGAGAGGACTAATGAGCAGATTGGGAGCAGGTGTGAACAGAGCAGAACAGGAAAGGAGCTAGGGAAAAAGGAGAACACAAGAGGGCAGCAGAGGGCAACAAATAAAAACCTGAAAATAACCAGAAAACACAACAAAATAAGAATAAAACAACTAAAACTAGAAAACATTTAATAAAGTAAAAGAGAATACACAAAAGAAAACATAACAGAACCAAGACTGTGACACTAGCAGAATACTTGAACAAGTGTTTTATATGTTATTTATCAGTAGTGCAGTGGGTAGCACTGCTGCCTTGCAGCAAGAAGGTTCTGGGTTCAATTCCTGGCTTGGGGTCTTTCTGCATGGAGTATTCATGTTCTGGGTGGAGTATTCATGTGTCGGTTCTCTCTGGGTACTCTGGCTTCCTCCCACAGTCCAAAAACATTACTGTCTCTAAATTCTCCTTAGGTGTGAGTGTGTGTGTGAATGGTTGTATGTCCTGTTTGTCTCGGTGTTGCCCTGTGATGGACTGGTGACCTGTCCAGGGTGGACCCTGCTTCTTGCCCATTGACTGCTGGAGATAGGCACCAGCTCCCCTCGCGACCCCACTCGGGACAAGCGTGTCAGATAATGAATGGATGTTTCTTTTGTATCTCTGCTTCTGTCTCCCAGTCGGCCTCAGCAGATGGCCGCTCACACTGAGCCTGGTTCTGCTTGCTGTGAGGATTGCTGCAGAGTTAATGACAAAATGCAAGTTAATATAATCTCTATACACTGATCCAGGAGGAGTGAATCCTGTAAAGTCAATGAGTCGATGCAATCATCTGGTTTTCCTTAGATTGAAAACGTTGAATCAGTTTGACTGGATGATCTGGTTGAATTTTCTCTGTAAAGTGCCTGGAGGTGACATGTGTTGCTAAGAATTTAACTAAACATTGCATCTTTGCTATTGCACCACTGCATTGTCCTGGAAAATGTCTTATTTTGGACATTACAATATTTAGGTATGTAAAAAATTGTAGTATGTAGTAAATGCAGTAAATGTGGAATGCATATTGTTCTGCCATTTGTTTCCTGTAATGGTGTCAAGTTCTATAAATCTAATATGGCTGAAACATTTACGATTACAGGTCTGGTCTGGTATGGCACATGCTTCCAACTGGAGCCCTGTTGTGTCAAATGGAATCATGTTGCTTCAGTTACAGCACTACTGCTCCAACATGGGGTTTGATTTTGGCAAGATTATGTGTGTTCCCCCCCCCCCCCCCCCCCCCCGTTTTTTTATTATCTGCTTCAAACTTCAACTTTATTCTTGTAAAAATCTAGACTTCAACAAGAGGATGTTTTTGTTGTTGAGCCATTTATTCCAGTATTGTTTATTTATTCCATCCACTGCCACTCCAGCTCCCTAAGCAAGACCCCCAACCCCACACTGCCCCGGGCGCCGCCCACTGCTCCCCAAGGGGATGGGTTTTAGAGAATTCATTTTGTTGCTCTGTTCTTGGGACAATGGAATCACAATAAAGTTGAATTCTATTCTACATGCTTAGTAAAGGGAAATTTAAATAAAATGCAACCTAGAAACGACAAAAACAAAAAAACTTCCTATTCCAAAAATGGTTTTGAGTGTAACAAAGTTACTCCATAGTCAGATTTCTCTAAATGATTTATTAAAACGAGACTCAATTACCACAACCAACAATCTAACAAGTATTTAACTATTTACCCCAGTTAAATAAACGGAGATTGATGGATTTCACTCGGCACTTCATTTATTATATCTTTGCAAATAGAGAACAGTTCATCATACGGCCCTAATTGCTTGGTAATCAGCCCTGTTCTGCCTGAGCAGAGTGTTTTCTATTTACCTACAACAATGGAAAAGTAGTCAGAGTCGAAACAAATTACAGACACTTTGGTTAACAGACTGAGTGAAAACTTTTACAGTAAGTAAATAGGATAAATTAATATATGAAATAAGAAAAATCTAAATTGTCTGACCTCAGTTCCACCCTTTCAAATATAAAAGGAAAGTTAGTGTACACTGTAAAGAACACTAAAAACTAAGAAACTAAAATTGTAAATATATGTAAAGGAAACTAAAAACTAACAAACAAACAAAGAATTTATATACACACATATATATATATATATATATATATATATATATATATATATATATATATATATATATATATATATATATATATATATATATATATATATATATATACACATACATATATATATATATATCAAAAATGCACACCTGCAATCAAGTCAGTGGACAATGTTAAATGATTATATTAGATGAAAAAATCATGGAAAAGATTATGATAGCTGAAATGTGTTACCATTAAATAGAGCCCTGGAATCACATCCTAATTGGCAAAAATATTTAACCGTTTTCCCCCCTGATGATACTTTTTATGGTAATAGATCTATTTGCTGATAATTTTAAAAGAATACTTTTTTTATTTATCATTATCAGTTACCTCTTTTGTTTCCCTGGAAAGAGAAAAGGACACAAACATTAAGCTTCAGATTCAAATAAATATAGCTTTGCATAACATCCTGCCATCTTCTAAGGTTTTTCTTTCAATGTTTGTTTATATGGGTTTATATGGTCCATGGGATTTTTTTTTTACTCTCCTTCTCTTTCTTTCAGCTGTGGAAGCAGACCGCTTTGTGTTTTTTTTGCATTTTTTCTCCTTTATTCCCTCCATCTCTCTTCCCCTCTCAATTCCTCACCTCCCTTTCTGTCTCAGTGTCCAATGCATAGGTTTTTTTCTTTCCCCCAGTCCCACTGCTAATAATGTATCATACAGAATTATGAAGTGGAACAGCATGGCAACAGCTACAGTATGATGGTCAACTTGTGAAAGCAATTATCAAGCACCAGGTCATTGATTCTCAGTGCTGTAATGGCAAATAGGCCACATTAAAAAAAGAATTAGAAAACATTCACTTCAAGATACACTTTTTCTCTCCTTTTTCAAACATAAATCATTTTACCCCATTTCCAAAATGTCATGTTGGCCCAAAACAATGGAAATATACTTTATTATTAAAAAGTACTTGTATATATACAAGTACTTTTTAATACTTGTATACCACACATTCAATTCAATTCAATTCAATTCAATTCAGTTTATTTATATAGCGCCAAATTCACAACACATGTCATCTCAAGGCACTTTACAGTTCAACCAGATCATACAGTCAAATTGATACAAAGTTTTCTATCTAAGGAAAACCAGTTGATTGCATTGACTCATTGACTCAAATACAATCCCCCACACTAAGCATGCTTGTAGCGACAGTGGAGAGGAAAAACTCCCTTTTAACAGGAAGAAACCTCCAGCAGAACCAGGCTCAGTGTGAGCGGCCATCTGCCGAGGCCGACTGGGGTTCAAGGAGACAGAAGCAGAGATACAAAAAGCAGCTGTAAAAGGCGGCCCCGTCCAGGAAACACGCAGCCAGGCAGACGAGCTCCAAGGCAGCTCCCATGCCAGAGGACGAAGAGAGCACATCCACTCAGTCACGGTCAGAGAAACAGGACCACACTGGAAAACAGGCCGATCTCCAACATCTATAAACAAGGGTGTTGATGGAAGCAGCACAGCTGATGTTTCTTTCCAGGATGACGTCACAGCCAAACAGGAACAGACGAGGCAAAGCTACTCTGAGGAAAAGCAGAGAGAGCAGAAGGTTAGAGATTGAACTAACAGATTCTGCAGAATAGGAGAACAGAGAGAGAATGAAGCAGAATGATGAAATGGGGGTCCCTATGTCCTCCAAAAGTCTAAGCCTATAGCAGCATAACTATAGAGATAGCTCAGGATAACCTGAGCCACCCTAACTATAAGCTTTATCAAAAAGGAAAGTTTTAAGCCTAGCCTTAAAAGTAGACAGGGTGTCTGCCTCACGGACTAAAACTGGTAGTTGGTTCCACAGGAGAGGAGCCTGAGAACTAAAAGATCTGCCTCCCATTCTACTTTTAGAAATTCTAGGAACCACTAGTAAACCTGCAGATTGAGAGCGAAGTGTTCTGTTAGGAACATAAGGAACAATCAGATCTCTGATATCAGATGGAGCTTGGCCATTTAAGGCTTTATATGTGAGAAGGAGGATTTTAAATTCTATTCTTGATTTAACAGGAAGCCAATGAAGAGAAGCCAGGATAGGAGAGATATGATCTCTCTTTTTAATTTTCATCAGAACTCTGGCTGCAGCATTTTGGATCAGCTGAAGGCTTTTAACTACAGTTTGTGGACTTCCTGATAGTAAAGAATTATAATATTCCAGCCTTGAAGTAACAAATGCATGGACTAGTTTCTCAGCATCACCCCTGGACAGGAGATTTCTCATTTTTGTAATGTTCCTCAGATGAAAGAAGGAAATTCTAGAAACCTCTTTGATGTGGGATTTAAATGACAGGTCCTGATCAAAAATAACACCAAGATTTTTTACTTTATTATCTGAAATCAGTTTAATCCCATCCAAATGAAGTGACTGGCTAATCAGCTTCTTTTTCAGAGACTCTGGTCCAAAGACTATAACTTCTGTTTTGTCTGCATTCAGGAGCAGAAAGTTAAGAGTCATCCAGGTTTTTATGTCTTCAAGACATGCCTGTAATCTATGTAATGGGTTAGCTTCATCTGGATTTATAGCCAGATATAGCTGGGTATCTTCAGCATAACAGTGGAAATTAATCCCATGCTGTCTAATAACTCTACCAATTGGGAGCATGTATAAAGTAAAGAGAATTGGTCCTAGCACTGATCCCTGTGGTACTCCACAGGTAACCTTTGAGCGTGTTGAAGATCTATCATTAACATGAACAAACTGAATTCGATCAGATAGATAAGATTTAAACCAGTCTAGTTCTGTTCCTTTAATTCCAACAAAATATTCAAGTCTTTCTAAAAGAATATTATGGTCAACTGTATCAAATGCAGCACTGAGATCCAACAGGACGAGCACAGATACAAGTCCATTATCTGAGGCCATGAGA